ATTGACGACACCGGCTCCGACGATCTGGTTTTCATTAGCACCCGGCTATGTTCTATCGAATTGCAGCTGAGCGAAAGGTTGGGGGAGAATCGTACAGTCGGGATCGCAATTCCATACGCCACCTTCTTCAGCACCGGCCCGGCAGACCCAAGCGCCGGAGAAGCCACGCCGTCACCGACATAGTAGTAGATGACAATGGCAGCGACGACGTAAAGACAGATCTCGAAACCCTGCAGCAGGCACAGCGCCTTGGGGAAGTCCTCGGGTTTTTCCATCTCCGCGATGAGGCCGAAGAATGCGACGTGGGCGCAGTAGGCGAAGACGATGTTGGTGACGGCCGTGAAGGCGTGGTAGAGGTTCGTTTCGTTAGTGACGGTGATGTTCTCGCCGCCCTTGTACTGCACTCCGACTCCGATCATAGTGATCATGACAGCGGTGAAGATACTGATGAAGGCTGGGTAATGTTAGTTGACCTGATCTGGACTGTCTTGTGGACGATGGGAGGTGAGGACGTACAGGCAATGGAGATGTACGTCATGTTCTTGATGGTCCGAGGCAGAGACAGAACCATGCAGATGACCATGCCGACGACGCTGAAGACGATGGAGCAGGTGCCGTGGTCGGTGATGGTGTTCATCATGACGGTGAAGGTGACGATATGACTGCCCATAATGAAGATGGAGAACAGGATCTGGCCCAAACCGAACAGCTCGCGACCAAACCGGCCCATGAGGATTTCGCCTGCATCGGCCAGGTTATGGATGAAGGGGTAGCGTTGACGGAATTGACCAATAACATAGCCGGTGTAGAGGGCGAGGATACCGAGTCCAACGATGAGGATGATGGCACTGAGAAGTGTTAAAAGAAAGGTATGGTTTAAAGCCGGCGATTGGTGACTTACGGGACGATTCCCAGAGCGCTCAACGTTGAGGGCAGCGAAAGGACACCGAGGGAGACGGATTCGGCAATCATGACTATAGAGATTAGCAACAGATACGACATGCGCGCATCTCGATTTCACGTACACATTCCACATTGCCTAGCCACCGGTGTTATTAGCGCATGATGCCTTAATCGCATAGACCAGACAGAGCAAACCTACCACCACTTCAACGTCTTATACTTGACCTCCGCGGTCTCTTCATTGCCGAACGGGTCAACGTACGACGGGTCCTCCTGGCCCTTGAGGTCGTCCTCGGGATAACCACCCTTCTCGGCCTGTTTATCGTCGATAGGACCGGCCGCGGGGTTGACGCCTTCCAACATCATCTTGTTAAAGGCCGGCGGAGTGGAGTGACGGGTCGATCAAGGTCGATGTCGATGTCAACGGAAGGCGCGAATGGTCGACGAAGGACAAGTGACAACGACAGAGACAATGACACCAGAGAGAGGAAGTTCGAAGAGCCGCGCTGAGAGTAAAAAATTCCTGCGCAGTGGGTCGTGGCGGTTGTGCCTTGCCGGGATGCTGGAACGGTAAGATCTGGGGACCGGCCGTTGAAATTGAGACACCGTATCTACCACCAACCTCGTCTCTCTTAAAAAACAGCGATTTCGGTGTCCTCGGGCATTAATGCGATCACTTTGCAGCTCTTCCACCCCCATGCTAGATCATATTGCATGCCCATATGACCTCCCCGCGAAGTCGAAGCGAGGTCCGGATCGACAACACGCCGCGTAGATGGCTACATGCATCACACATAGAAATTGTGTCTGCGGCGAACCAACGCCAAAGATTCAAGCTCTGCAGACTCCACTGACACCAATGAGAACGTGCAATCGCTGCAATTAAGTAACAGATTTGACCCACGCGCGAAAGCTTTGCGCGCGATCCGAGGATAACCGACGCTTCGCTGGCCGCTGGTTGGCTCCTCCCGCCTGCCTCGGCGGACTTCCGTGTGGCCTGAGGCATCCACCCGATCGTCCCCATTTCCGCGTTTCTGTTATTCTATCATTATTGATTTCATTCTGTCAGGGTCTGCGTCTGGCCAGTGGCGTTGGTTCGTTTGCGTTGCCTGCTTTATCGGCGTTGATATCAACCTTCCATTGCGGGTCCTCAATCTGGAGTTGATGTTTCATTATTGACTCGGAGAGCTCTTAGCCTTGAGATCTTGCAGCTCGCTTCTCCGGGGTTCTATAATGTGGGATGCCACCTATTTAAGGCTGCTATTTTATACTCCATACGGTCGTGCGGTATAGCGGGAGACGCTGGTCAAGTTCACCCTTCAGTTGGGAGCAAAGGTTGTTGCCACTTACCAATAATAATAGACAATATTATACATCATTGCGCGTCGAAAATGCCGACTGTACTGAGTACAATAGCGCAGATCGGATTCACCACCGATAAGGATTCCCATTGACCTTGACCGATCGAAAAAAGGTACAAATAAACAGCAGACTTTGGATCCTGACCGCTCTTCAGCGTGCCCAGTTTGCTTTCCAGCCTCAATCCTCGAGTCAGTTCCAACTTCCAACAGGAAAACCTCGCTAGCATTACCTGTCATCTGTTCTATGACATATGTGTTCTGTTGTGAGAAAGTCGCTAGTCTTGGGAACAGTAGAAGGACATGCAAGGGGTGGGAGTAGCTAGTAGATATAGTCACCGTGGGCGACACCTAGATGAAGTAGTCTATCTATAACCTATACACGTCGACGTCGAAATTTGAGCGGGTTGCATTACAATCTTAATCAGCCACGTGTCTAGTCAATTCCTGATGGGGATTTGCTGAAAGTGTGTCTTGTCGGTCTCCGTCTTGTGAAGGGCGTGTTGCGTGATACCTATTGTTCTGCAGGGAAGGATGGAAAGGCCGGATCGCGCCTTCGATATATTTCTCGGCATTTCCACAACAACAATAGCCAATTGAGGAAATAATGAGAGAAAGTGATGAAATACTCAAGTTATTCAGGAGATCATGAGTGGTGGTCGTCATGTGAGCAGAAATCTGCTATATTTAAATTCAAGTATTGTCGATCGGAAGAAAAATGACGAGGGCGAGACTTGAACAGACAATGCCAAGGATTCCGCCAGCTTTTTCAATTCTCCAACTACAGAGCTGAACGTTGTCATGGTCATATGCGTTCTGCACTCTGCACTTTGTACTCTGATCTTTGCACTGTAGGATCTCAGGAAAATCAATCTTGAGAAGCGATCAACAATGCAGCTGTATCCTCATCACTAGACCTCGGCATAGCCCGCCCGTGGGCGGTGGGAGACCGCCCATCGCCCGCCCGTCCGAGCCCGTAGGGCAGCCACCGGCCGCCCGCTCCCGCCCGGGGTGCCCGCGTAGGGCCGCCCAGGGCGGCCCGTTTTGGCCCATTCGGTGCACAATTCTCCCAATTTGGAAGCATAACTTGATGATTCACCTGATAAATTACCTGTTTTTTACCCCTGTTCCAGTTCCGTCTATACTGGGGGTTGATATTTATCTACCCCTGCCCTGGAATTGAATAAATAATGCTTCTATTTAGATTCTGCGTACCCTACTTATACTAGATCCTTCCTGGTCTCGAAGCTAGATAGTGTTAGTGGTAGGTTATTTACTGGACTGGTGCAAATACATAATTTCATGCCAGAAATATATTTGAGCACTAGAGGTCTATACCACCAACATTCTCCTGAAATCATCAATATTAAAGATAACTTCTTTCTTCGTTGTTTGGTTGATTTGACCGTGCTAATAGTTAATTTAGTACTTAAGTCTTTTTTTATTCTATCAGAAAGCCCATTTTACTAATATAAGCTGGTTTAAAAGTCCCTTGAAAATCCACACCTCTTGCTAAAAGAATCGCAAAGGCCGGGGGACCCCTATCTCATGAATATTTTTGAGAACGGGCCGCCCTGGGCCGCCCTAGCCCTATGTAGCCCAGGGTCTCTTAGAGCCGCCCGCAGGCAGGTGGAGCATAATCCAATTATATCACGTAGAATATAGCGATAGGTTTACTTCGTGATAGATCAATCTGATCATATAGGTTGACTAGAATAGACAGCCCCTTAAATACTTAGCTTGCTTACTTTACTTAGAGAAAACTTGGTAAGTCTCCTGATTCCTTATTCACTCACGCGAGACTGTCAGGTTGCGCTCATTATGTCTCAACAGTCTGATATCTACTCGTCTCTCTACGAGGGTAATCCTAAAGCTACACTTACTCCATTTTATACTTTTACTGAGACTCTTTTTTCGTCTTACATTGATTCTGACCTCCCTATACCGTTTACATCCGAGCCGCATATTAGCCAGCAGTCATTTACGTCCGCACCTGCTTCTGACTTTGTTCAATCTCGTTCGATTCCCTCAAATCTCACGCGTATACGGTCTAATTGTCTCACTGAATTCATCCTATATACCAATATGGATAAAGAGGTATTTGTCAATTGGTAGCTACAGATAATATATAGAAGGAGACCCGAAGCAAAAACATTTAACTGGGATCGAACTAGGCATCTATCTGATGTGTAAAAACACTTTAATCAGATTGCTTCTGCAACTGATGGTCTTCCGAAAGTAAAATGTCAACAATGTAGCAAGATTCTTGATCACCCAGGACACACTAAAGCGAGAACAAACTCGATAGGTAGGCATTTGAAGGGGGAAAAGTGTCGAAAGGCTGCTCAACAATCTCAGCAGTCTAGTATTCGACGGCTTATACAAGATGAGGTAAGTTAAGCCCTAAGTAAGGTATTCTATAATTTTAAGTCACTAGGCTAGTCAACCTTCGAAAAGCAATCAGGCAGTCAGCAAAGAGGACTGAAAAAAAGAGCTAATTAATACAATCACTATTCTACGGCTTCCGCTCCAGATTGTAGAGCATCCCCAGTTCTAGAAATTTATACGAGTATCTCGTTCAATCGCATATTTACCCGAATTTCCTTCTGTGAGGACAGTTGGTCGAAGACTTCGAAATATTGTCAAGGAATGCCAACAAAACATCCTTCGGAGTTTCCTCTAGGTACAAAACTCTCTGTTGTTCTTGACTACTGGACATATCCATTCTGACAAGCATTTATGGCAGTTACTGGTTACTTTATCGATGACGACTGGAACTACCGGGAGATCTTGATTGGCTTTGAGCCGCTTCATAGAACGCATTCAGGCGTGAACCTAAGTGCTATATTTCTAGATCTGCTACAGCAGCATCATATTACGGATCAGGTGCTCACAATTATCACTGATAATGTATCGAACAACAATACGTTAATGTCAAGCATTCAAGAATCTGTCCAGTCACTTAACCTTGATAATAATACTTCTATTATCCGGGTTCCATGTATCGTTTACGTTATCCAACTTAGTCTCAAGCAGCTTCTTGGTCAGATGAAAGCTAATCCTAAGAACGAGATAACTGAGATAATCAGAAGCTCAGTCTCAATCAGTTCGTACGAGCGCAAGGCAACAAAAACTAGAGATTGTTGATACCCTTAATAAGGTTAGCAATATTATTGATCTAAATACTTTATATTACTGACTCCCTATAATCCTAGGTTCGCAACTTGGCAATTTACATTTATGCACGTTTTCAACGCCTCGAAGCGTTCTGTAACCTTCAAAGAGTATTACCAAAGATAGTTCCGATTCAAGATGTAAAGACTCGCTGGAATTCCACGTTCTTAATGCTTTGTCGTGCAAAAAGGTTGCAGTCCACATTCAACGAGTTTTACTCAGATGTCGCCTTCGAGACCTAACGCTTGATCAGGAGGAATGGCGCTAGATCGAGTATCTTCTTTGGATCAGTCAGCCTTTTTTCAAGTTCACTACTGCGTTATCGAAAATTACTGATGCGACTATCCATATTATCTTTGATATTTACAACTAACTTTTCGAACATCTGGAAAAGTCTACTCGGCAGCTACAACGGAAGAAAATCCCCTGGAAACAGCTAATACTGAAGGCGCTAGACGCTGCAACAGATAAGCTTGCAGATTACTACAGCAAAACAGATAAGTTTCATGGTGATCTCTTTGCAATTAATACAATGTTTGCACCAGAAAATAAGCTACATTTCTTCTCAGGGAAGGGCTGGGACGATAATTACGACTGGCGCCGGAGATATCGTCAAAGCTTCGAGAACTATATGGAGTCATACAAACAATGTCTTGCTAACCTACAGACGTTGTTACAGGCCCAACCGCCGTCGCTACCAAGATCAGCGATTGAGATGTCTCTTAAAGGGGCAAAGACTCAACGTTTAGGCAAGCGTGGTGAGCTTGCGCAGTATCTCGAGGCTGGTACGTGACATCCCTATTTGTCTTTACCCTTTATTAACTAAGGCTATAGATACTGTTGAGATTTCTCCTCGCGCATTCTGAAAGGAGAATCAGCGTAGATACCCAGCTCTTGCTAGAGTTGCGCGGGATGTTCTTTCTATTCCAGCGACTGGTACAGGCGTTGAACGGCTTTTTAATTCTGTCTGAGACATCTGTTACTACCGTCGAGGCTTACTAAATGCGACCACTATCCAGGATCTAATAATGTATATGTGTGCATCAAGATTTGATCTCGAGGAGCAACAGCTTGCATTGCTAAACGACTTTTTCTCGGAAGAAGAGAAAGAGGAGGCACGCGAAGAAAAGATTGCGGAATTCCTTGATGATCTAGATCCAATTAGTGATAATGAGGAAGATAATGTGATACCTATCCAGGAACAGCCTGAGACCCAGCAGCGAGTATCAGGGAGAAATCGGTAGCGTTCAAGACGTGAGAATGATGATTTTGTACCTTATTAGGTAGCATGTTATAGAGCAATTCAATCAATGTCAGGCTTAACCTACCTAAACACCTGCTTCTCTATCTCTTGACTTTTCATGTAAGGCGAATACTTGAAAATACGAACAAAAACTGCACAAATGATGCATGTCACGGGTTTCCCTACGTTTGCCCTGTTTGATAGCCCACCGGGCGCCCGTTTCAGCCCGCTGGGCAGGCACTTAGAGCCCATAGTAGCCCGCCGGGCATGCCCAGGGCTGTGCCGAGGTCTACTCATCACCACCAGAAGTACATAAACCCCGCCTTCCCCTCATTGCTCACCCCCGGTGATTGGCAGTGAATTGATGGCGTATCACAGCACAATGCGCTGTCCATGCATAACCTCGGATGCAGGGTTCCTGGCTATAGCTCGCAGCAATAGCCGACCACATCGAGGTGTTCATAAAGACAGTCAGTCCCTTCAGGTTCCGATGTCACCATGTAGCCTGCTTTATACATCTCGTAGCCAACATGCGTCTCGATAAGAAAGTCGCCGTCGTCACCGGATCCTCCTCCGGACTTGGGCGAGCCATTGCCATCCGCTACGCCAATGAAGGAGGACTCGTTGTTTGCGCGGACTTGTCTCCGATGGCACGATCGGTGGTTCCCGAAGAGCTCGAAATCACGACGCACGAAGCCATCCAGCAAGCCGGCGGACGAGCCATCTTCGTGGGTACGGACGTTGGCGATGCAGCGGCCGTCGAGCAAATGGTGCAAGCGGCCGTGAAAGAATTCGGACGTCTAGATATGTAGGTTCTCGGGTTTCCTCCGCCACCTGTGTTCGCCATGCCAAGTGCACGCGATAGATAAAACAAATCTGTACACAGACTCGTGAACAACGCCGGCGTGGCCCTCGAGACTCGTCGGCCGGGAAAAGTCCACGAAACCGACGAAGACCTATGGGACACGACGATGCGCGTGAACGCGAAATCAGTCTTCTTGGGATGCAAGTATGGGACAGCGCAGATGCTGAGACAGGAACCGCATGAATCGGGCGATCGGGGCTGGATCATCAATATGTCTTCGATCTGTGGCATTATTGGGACATTGGATACTCGTACGTTTCCTCGACTTTACCCGCTTCTTTGTCTCTGGAATTAGTGCTGAGCAATGGACATGGACTAGCATCATACTGTGCTTCCAAAGGAGCAGTCAGCAATCTTACTCGCCAGGTCGCCTTGGACTATGCAGCCGATCGCATCCACGTGAATGCCATCTGTCCTGGATGTATGTCCCCTTCCTCTGTCTCTAGCATGTCTGGTACAAGACTGACAGCTTAGATACCCAAACTGCTATATTTCGCGACACGACGGGGGGCAATCTGATGGGAGTGGAGGCGCTGCAAAGGAAACATCCACTGAAAGGACCGGGATTACCGGATGACATTGCGAAAGTGGCGGTGGTATTGGCGAGCGAAGATGCCAGCTGGATGACGGGAGCGTGTGTACCGGTGGACGGGGGATATACAGCTCAGTAGAAGGTTGTGGTAGTAAGTTGTCTTCCTAATGAAGGCATTATCAAATGAATGACATTATCCTCGCGAAGGGTGTACGAACAGAGTTGTAACATGTGACAGACTAGACCGTAGGACATAATTGAAAGCAAGGTTTGAAAGTCGTTCTGGAGGAGATGGCATGATGTTGATGCCCTAGGCAGCTCTGAGCGAGTGACCATCCGAAGCCCTAAACATCATGGAGTCGGGTTTGTGATAATTTTTGATGATCTTGACACCATTGGTTTTCGCAGTTTTAGCTGATTTAAATGATTAGATTTGCTCTTTGATGGACTGTCATTGATTCTTAAAGTACTATTTGTATTTTTCGGAGGGAGAATGTACTCGCCCATGATACAAGTGCTTATTGTCGACGAAGAGCAGGTTTATGAATTGGACAAATATTACAGGAGAACCTGCGGATAAATTCTAAGACTATACTCATGGTGACTTGTTTATTGGTTTTCAAATACTAGTCCATGCTTCTACATTTCTGTATGGCGATGGCGCGAGCTATTTTCTCGTGAGGATAAATCAATTGAGTTGCCTAATCTTCTAAGACCTCGGTCAATTAGTTGAGACCAAAGATACCAGAGGCTCGATGTGACGTAATATTTGACAATTCCGACAGAAATCCCCAACAGTCTGGTCAAGAAGTGATCTAGAAAATAAAGAACTCGAACTAGATTGACGAATTTGGCCCCAAGCAACAGGGATGCGATATTTACACCTTCCATTACTGTTTAGAACCGTTGGCGTAGCGTGTTTCAGAGTTTGAAATCCAAAAGCAGCCAAGGGAGACAAATTGGTGTTTCGGTCGTTCAGGAAATCTAGGACACATTATCCCTCACGTTTTCATCAACCATTGGGATGTTGATTATTTTGGCTAATTTTTCTACCGGAGTGGGCAAAGCTTTCATATGAGTGACCCACATTGGAGATGAAAAATTGAAAATAGAATGGACGAAGTGGCGGAAGCAACCGACGAATGCCACACTTGAAGCAATCATTCTAGCGGGAAATCTTTGCTATCTGGCTACTCTGCTGCCTAAAGTTCCAGAGAAACTGAGACATTGAATGGGGAGTTGTAATATATGGAGTAACTCATACATTTAGCTTGTTGATATGCTACTGCCTAAATCAGGACACAGAGGAGTTAGTCAGTGGAAAGTCATGTCAAAAACTCACCTCTCGAACCCTCTCTTGAAAGGGAAGCGCTACAGACACACCCTCCTCCACTCCTGACACACCCCACGTGACCAGGTGGCCTAGTCAGTCGCCGATGCCGGCGCTGCGCAGCGCGCAGGTGGGGACCTCAGGTTTCATATATTAGCCCCTAGCCCTGGGCCCTGAGCCCTGACTAGGCCTGACGTAGATAGGCCGGATCATATAATGAAGTTGTTCAGAAAGAGAGAAGGCCGCTTGGTAATCAGCAAACGGACGAGGTAAACAGCCGGTAAAGTAGAAAGATAATAAGGCTGCTGTCGAATTGTTCTGTTATTTATACTGACATATCGCATTATAAAATACCATTTCTGACCAATCAGAGCCTTTCAATCAATAATAGTTATATTTGTTATCTCTTTCGTTTACTCGCTTGAGTACACGACCCTTTCTCGATACAACAGGAGCCGTTACCAGTATATCAGGCGAGGATAATCGTAGCGGAGATAATAACCGTATTAGAGTTGGGTTTTAAGACAGCTGTAGGGATAAGGAGACAAAGAATGGTAACGATAATAGAGATAACGGACTTACTGCTTTCCTTTTAGGCCGTCCAGGTATTTTAGGGATCTTCTCTTTAGCTAGAACTCGCTCAAATTCAGAAGGATCTCTTCTTGTTGATATAGAGGGCGTAACGGGTATATTTGATAGTCTATTACGTACAGCCGTAAGGACACGTAGAGGAAGGACAATCGCTTGAGACTCTGTAAAAAATATATCAGTAAGAGTGTAAAGAAACTATTATTAATAAAAATGATTAATATTCCATGTCGTTTTCTGATTTATGCATTCCTGGATGTTATGTATACAAGGGATTCTTCGTGTAGCGCGTGTTATGCCAGTACATTCCTCTGGGATAGGGCATTTCATGATCAGATGAGAGTTGTAAATATTAAATACTTTTTAGAGGGCGTAGTAAGATATCTTTTTGAATAGATCACTAAATAGGAGTACGCGGAACTTACAAACAGAACTAGTAATTCGTTTATTATCTTTTGCTTTAATATAACAGTTATGTTAATGCTCAAACGTTCTTTAAAATGATATAATAACGTAAAAAAGATCGGCATTAGAAGTTATAAGATCTCTTTTAAATTGCGCGTAAACGTTTTTACTGCAGGAGATTGTACGCATAGCAAGATAAAAGAATTTGTCAGTATAACAATAAAGTATATAAGATTGGATATTTTTATTCAGCTATTCTCTCTCAATGTATAAAAGTAAGGGCTTAAAAAGGACTCTGCTATATTCTAATTTAAACTGATTCCAGCATTCTATTGCTTGAACGTATAAATTCGTTATATAACAGTTTACCACTTGATTAACATACTTTTCCATTTTTTAGCTATTTCTGCATGAAATGCAGCCTTTTCTTTAGAATCCTTAAATTTTGGAGACTCGATCATATTACTGATCAAGTCCTTGCAGAGATAGGCCCGAGTTTTAGCAAAAATATTTTTATTAATATGCCAGAGACATATCAGATTGTCAGCTGTAAAGAAAACTGTTTTACATAAATTTATAAGAGCTTTTTCCTTATCTGTTAGGATTGTGCGTTTTAGTTGTAAGCCAAGCTGAATGTAAACTTTGAATAGATTTTTAAATAAAAAATTATATAAGCTTTGCTGCTCATTATGAATAAATACAAAATTAAGAAAGAATGTATGCCCTGTTGCTGTAATCCTATTGATATCAAGAAATGGCATCTTGTATCTATTGGTCTTGTATGTGCAGTCTATAATCAAGACATAAATTTAAACGAAACAAATCGAAACTGCTTTTGTACATATAAAAAAAACCTATCAGATAATGACTTCCGTCAGTTATATGATTGAAAAGCTACTCTTCTGATAGACCTGTAAGAAGAGTCTAAATATGAGTCCAGCTATCAAAAAATTGATAATGACGTTTCTGCTGAAAGTTATAGATATCCGGGGAAAGTAATGTTGTAGTATTATTCTGTCGGATACTTTAAACAATCTAACGAGGTTTTACACCTACTGCAAGTTAATTTTTAATAGATTTAATGTTTCTTTTGAGATCAATTTTCTGTAGTGTTGGATGGGTATAAGCTGGAGATACCTTGTAATTATAATTACCATTTGTGACTTCGATCTTTCAGAAACATTCTGATTTTGAATCAGAATCAGATTGTACACGTTTAATAGCTGTACGGAAAGGACAATTATCTTAACGAGAGCTTTTTTGTCTTTTTCTTTTAGTTTTATTGACCTTGCTTTTGTATATTCTGCTGCGATTATACTGTAAATATCGTGCTCTGATCTGTTCACCCTTCTTATCTTTTTTTTTGAATTTTTCGTGGTCAAAGCGTAGCCATGCTGCCGGGTGAAATCGTTAATAAAATCCATAGTTTCTTGCTCTGAGGCAAATTGGCGGTCATTTAGTAGTAGGGAAAACGTATTTGATTCGTGGGATTCGATTAGCTCCTCAGGTATGATGAAAAAATCGAATTGTAAGTCAAACTCTATATCAAGTAGAGCGTCTTCATCAAATTCGGACTCTAGGAGGTCAGAAAACGCGTTTTCTGCCTCTATAGTAGCGAGTATGATGGTTGTATCTCACATTGAAATATGTAACGTGAGATGAAAGTGGTGAGGTCCCCACCTGCGCGGTGCGCAGCGCCGGCACCGGCGGCTGACTAAGCCACCTGGTCACGTGGGGGTGTGTCAGGAGCGGAGGGGGGTGTGTCTGTAGCGCTTCCCTCTTAAAAATAGCCAACAACGACTGGAACAATCTACTGTAGAAGCTCCACTCACCATCATCCATCCCCCCCGCAATGCTAAGCTGATTATCTTTTTAGTTTAGACATACGAGTTGCACAAACCTATCAAATACCTGCAAATGTTAGGCAACACAATTCAAGGTTGAAAGAGGGTTCGGCATGCCTGTACAAGGTGCTTGTCTTCGTGCTGGAGCCACTGATCTTTCTATTCAGTAGTCTCTTGATGCCGTCTACCCGGAGCCTTGAAAGTTGAAAGGCTTGGTGTCCCTAATAATAGTTGCGGGCTTGGCAGTTGGCACTAGGTTGCGCGGTGCTGAGGCTGAAGATGCAAGGAAGAACAAGCGATTCCGCATCGGGAGAAACGCGCAAGTTGCGAGGCAATTTCGAATCACCTTGTGTCCTACGATCTTGTCTTCGAACTATTGCAACGCTTATGGTCCCCTCTTCTCGATTTATAATGCGAACTCAAAAAAGTCAAGTCTTGTATGTTGAGCAACGAAATTGTCTAAATAGGCCCCCTGGCTCCGGCATTCTACTTTCACTAGTTATCACCGTCGTCCTCAACATATCCTTTGGCTGGAGAGTTCTATTCATGGCTCTCTACGTAAGTGACGTATTCGCGGCGTATTCTTCGCGTGTTCATCCCGTATCCAAGGATAGTCCCAGCTAAACAATATTAAGCTTATTCAAACCGAACGATTTCCCCGACAAAACCCCAGCCGCAAGCCTTGAAGGGGTGAGTTTGAAGTTTAAGTTCCGACCCCAAACCAACATCACACTAGAAATCCTGAATGGACCGGCCGACAAGTGGGGCTCAAAAAACGAGCCATCCTACAACGCCAGATCACCCAGGCTGGTTCTCGAAAATGGCTGCCTGCAAGCTTGAACATGCATGCTAAGCCCTTCACCCGCAACTAAAACATGCTCTTTAGGTACCCAAAACGGAGTACACGGAGTACACGCTACACAGCCAACCAATGTGACGATCACCGCCCACATCGTACATACCCGTGCGCCTGTTAATGCGTGGACCTATTCCTCATCAGGGGGGAGATCTAGTATGAATTGTTCCTGCCAAGCGCCATCCCTGCCTACCTCGGAAAGTGCTAAAAGAACGGCGCGTTCATCAGTTTTGCCCCGCCAATAAACGCCGAATCTCGACCGGTAAGGGTCTAATTTCACTGATGATCACAGGGAATCTCTGCGGATCTCGGCTGGGGGCGACGTCATGGACAGAGGGCGGTTTTGTGTCACGCTAGAATGAAAAACCAGGGGATAACTATCGGCCACGTCCTCCTTGCGGATGAAACCCAAGGACCCCAGAAAAGGAGGCGAGACAGCGATCTTGACACCTAGCATCCAGGACATGATTCAATCTCGTCGATAGTGAAGATGTTTGGCCAGTTTCGCTTTCGAACTCTGTTCCCCCTTTATCTCTTCTGCTGCGCGCTCCTTGGCCTGGTTGTCTGGGGACTTTGGTTCGGCGTCAATTCAGATCGTGATAATGTCCCGGTTCTGCTGAATCATTTGATTCCGGCTGGTCACTGCGCCTGTCAAGCAGCGTTGGATTTCAAATGCGACACCTGCCTCCACTGCCCGGCAGAAGCGCCCACCTCTTCGCCAAACAAAACTCGGGAATATAACCCGGTCTACGACGCACAAAATCTATCGCTCAGCGATGCGCAATGTCAGGGTTTCTTCCCAGGCCTATTCGAAGACATCTATCGCGCCCAAAAGGTGTGGGATGATCGAGGCGGAATCACCATGGAGGACCTAGACAACATCGGGCTAGTCGATAGTATGGCACGGGCGGCCATCATCGACGGACAATTATATGTGAAAGCGACGCGAGCGCACAACGACGACCATCGACGCAAGATCCTGGGAACACTCAGCGCCATTCATCGGGCTCTAGTGACAAATCCCGACGCAGCGATCCCATCAACGGAGTTCGTGTTTTCTGTCGAAGACAAGCTAGACGATGTGGCTGGACCGCATCACCCACTTTGGATTTTGGCCCGGAAGCCAGACGAGGAGGCTGTCTGGCTGATGCCGGATTTCGGCTTCTGGTCATGGAACAACGGCCACACCGACATGCCGATCGGGCCGTACAGTTTGGTGGTGGATCGCATCGTTCATCGCGAGAAGGATGAGTTTCCTTGGGACGAAAAGGAGGAGAAGTTGGTGTGGCGAGGGAAGTTGAGTTTTGCAGCCAAGATGCGACGAGGACTGTTGGAAGCAGCCAGGGACGAGCCGTGGGGCGACATCAAGGAGGTGGACTGGCACCGGAAGGATAACTTCATGACGATGGAGGACCACTGCCGATATCGATATATCGCTCACGTTGAAGGTAAGTTGTTCTTGCAGCAGTAGAAGTTCTAACGGAGGCTAATATTGAGAAAGGTCGATCATATTCCGCCTCGTTGAAGTACCGACAAGCGTGCAAGTCAGTGGTAGTCGCACACAAACTCCAGTTCATCCAACATCACCACTACCTTCTTATATCCTCCGGCCCAGACCAGAACTTTGTCGAAGTAGATCGGGACTTTTCCGACCTGCCGGACAAGATGCAGATCCTTCTCGACGACCCAGCATTATCGGAACGAATTGCCAACAACAGCGTGGCCACCTTTCGAGATCGTTATCTGACTCCAGCGGCTGAAGCATGCTACTGGCGCAAGCTGCTAGATGGATGGACATCTGCATCGCAGAATATTAGCAAGACAATTCAGCCGTCGTCAACGACGGACGAGCTCTTACGGTTCGAATCATTCCTTTTGCTTGACAGTGAAGCTATGATGGATTTCTCAGGTACTTATACAGCATGATAGCTGTCGCGAAATGTGCCATGTTCTTTTTTTTTGTTGTCATTCCTTTTGAGCGTTATAGAACAATATACCCAGCCGCAAAGTCAAATTCATTGAAATTGAGGACCTACAGAAATAATCCAGGGGATAATACGTCATAGGACGCGTCGAATTAGCCATACCCACGCAGTAGTGCTAGATCCTTCTTGTGATCAGAATAAAAACCTAACGCAGCTTGTCAACAGATCCTACAAGTTCTTCGCGTGTTCCCGAAACGTAGGCCGAATGTTTGCCTTGTGGAGACCATCTGATATTAGAGCACTGGTCATGCTCGCTAATGCACTCCGTGGAGAAGTTTTGAGCGAGAGATCTGGTCGCGTGGGTCTGAATTTGCATACATCTTATCCTCGCCCTGACAAAAGTGGGTGCGAGACTCATCATTATGTATCCAGCTCGATAGTGTGGGACCCAATCGTAGAGCATATGTGGCCGTCAGTCTTGTCGATACAGGTCCATCATGTGGGCGTGGTAAAGCTTGTCGACGGGCGAAATTTGATATGAGGATCTGGAGCGTCAGGATATCAGAAACATCGAGTGAATGTAAGCGGTATCATTTTTGGAATCAAGGAAATAATATCCCGTGACAAAAGGGATGCTAAATTTGATGCTAAATTTCAAGCAAGTCAGAAAAGATCTTGTCAGTCGACTTGGGTGCGATCCAGAACATAGTACTCAAATAGACTTTGGGGAGTAGACGAGTCAGAATGATGTTCAGGGGTATGTACGATATGTCTCTTTTCCAGGAATTTCAAGGATTCAATCAATATCTCCGCGGGTTGCCCCTTATCAGTAGATGCATATAAGGCAAAGTAGGTAATTTCAATCGATAAATCGTATCCCTTATCATCCCACCATAGTCTTAGGTGAGTCGATATTTAAGCTTCTATGCTAATCGTGATGCGAACTCTCGAATTAACTAGAACCATCGCGAGGAAGCAAACAACCGTATTAGAAGGCCCAGGGGAAGAGAGGGGAATCGATCATATACAGGAGATTGTAATTGTCTGATGACCCCTCGCCATGTGTCCATGTACAAGATGCGCCCTTGGCTACGTGGAATAATTCAATCAGGCGCATATCCTAGTACCCCTTCTATCATATTCGATTCAGACCATGCAGGAAACAAGGGGAATAAACCACACCCCTCGCATAAAATCTGATAAGTCTTTCGCAAAAAGCCATTTTCCAAGTAGCATAGCACGTAGAACTGACGATTGTGGGTCTTAATGAGGGTATTGCGTTAACACCTTCCTCCGATCCAATTGAAATTGAATAGTGAGTTTTCGAGCTGAGTTGTCCGGTTTCAACAAGTCAGAATCCTAAAAAGGGGAAGGAGGGGAATGATAGGGATGAATGAATTAGGAGAAACATAGATATAGATCTCCTGAGGATGACAGCAACCATTCGAGATACGGTGTACTGTTCCTCAAAATGTCTTTCACGGTGGATATAGTGCAATTGTCGAATAATCTCTCATGTGAGGTGAATGATGGTCCTCAAATAGCATTGGAAGGGCTCTTGGTCAATGTATCTCGATCGGTGCTGCTGGGATTCGTGCTCCTAACATCATGGGTCGTCTACAATTTGTTCATATACCCTCAATTCGTCAGTCCCTTAAGATTCCTTCCTCGCGCGAAGGTAAGATTCCAGACTCTCCTTTGTCTTTTCCCAATCTCTAACTCAAAAATGATAGGGCGGCTATCCAATCCTTGGTCACGCCTTGGTCCGATTCAAACAACCCTTAGGACAAGATTACGTGCGATTCATGGAAGAAGTACCCAACGAGGGGATAATTCTCTTCCGCGACCTATTCAACTCAGACCACCTACTCCCCACGAGCACCGCAGCCCTCGAAGAGATTCTATCCAAGAAACCATACATATTCGAGAAGCCCAGCGAATTACGGGAATACACCAGCCGGTTTTTAGGACGGGGGCTCCTCACTACAGAGGGTGAAATCCACAAACGCCAGCGCAGAGACATCACGCCGAATTTCACTCTGCGGCATACGAGACAGCTTGCACCGTTGTCATGGACTCGAAGTATGGAGTTGGTTCGGGGTATTGCCAGCGAGGTTGAGTCGCAAGCACAGATTGATGGCTCCATAGATCAGGTGAATAGATCAGGGATTGTGGATATGAATGTCTGGGCTACGCGCAGAACGTTAGATATTCTGGGGACTGTCGGGCTAGGACGGGATATCAAGGCAATTGATAATTCGCGGATTGAGATCCAAGAGGCCTATACGGCGGCATTTACGGCAACGTGGAGGAAAACATTCCTGTACACTGCGATCTGTTGCAGGCTGAACTGGTTGATCGACTGGATTCCATGGAAGGTGGATGAGCGGTTCAATAGGGCGACTGACTATCTGAGACAATTTTGCCGGGAGTCCATCGATGAAAGCAGACGGAGGAAGCAAGACAGTGGGACGAGCTCGCCTAATCTGCTAGCTAAGCTCATCGAATCGAACAAATTCACGGATGACGACCTTGTCGATCAATCGCTGACGTTCCTGGCAGCGGGGTGAGTGATACCCTCCCTATCCCTAAGAGTCAATCATGTCAGCAGAAGAGCTAACGCAGAACAAAGACACGAAACAGTAGCCGGCACATTAGGGTGGTCCGTCTATCTTCTTGCCAGCCATCCCAGCATCCAGACTGCTCTCCGTGAAGAGATCCTGTCTCGTGGCTCACCCGAAGAGTGGGCCTTGCAAAGTCCCGACATCGCGACTCGTCTGGAATACATTCCTCTTCTCAATGCCGTGTGCAATGAAACCATCCGTCTCTATCCAACCGTACCACTGACCCCCCGTGTCGCGAAAGAAGACACGTCTATCCTAGACTGCCCCGTTCCCAAAGGCACTCGAGTGATGCTAGCACCGTGGGCGATCAACCGGGCCCCGCATCTCTGGGGACCGACGGCGAATGAATTCAAACCAGAGCGATGGATCGACGAGACGACGGGCGAGGTAAACAAGAAGGGAGGTGCTGAGAGCTCATATGCCATGCTGTCGTTCCTGCATGGGCCACATAATTGTATGGGGTCGGGGTATGCGAAGGCGGAACTTCGGATTATGGTGGCTGCGTTGGTGACGGCGTTCGAGATGGAATTGGCGGATCCCCAGGAACCGGTGTTACCGAGTGGGAGAATAGTGACGAGGCCAGGGGATAAAAATGATCAGTTGATGATACGAATGAGGCCTGTGGATAAATAGGAGGGTAGAATGGGAAGCATACTATTAATTGCATTAGCCGAGATCTTGGGCCAGTATAGAATAATAGAGAAAAAAGAAATCATTAAAAATCAATACCACAGTTTGTCCCAACGGAACCATTGTTGAGAGCAGATATTGGCGTACAAATATCAGCAAAACAACCACGCAGCCCGTTGCCCAAAGTCTGTGGGATATCCGAGGGATGATAATGAACTCGGACTATATATAGAGGGACATGACCCAGAAATCTGAACAACAACAAAAAGCAAAGTGTGAGGTCTACATCGTTCAAATTATTTACCATGATCAATGGCAGAGTCAATGGCACAAGGGATTCGAAGGAGAAGTAACAGAAGAGAAATAGCCGGATGATGAAAAGAGAGATGAAGGCACCGAGGAAAGAGATCTATTGGCCTGACTGCCTTGGTGCCGTGGTGCCCGGACCGTGTATGCCTTAGGCCTGAGGCAATCAACGGAAGAACACGTGCCATGGACTCTCGCCGACGAGGATCCTTTCCTTTCTCTCTATCCTTCCTGCCTTCCTGCCTTCCTTCCGTCTTTCTATCTTCTTCCCTCTTCCCATGTTTCTTTCGCTCGGTTAATGCATCTCATGCTCGCTTATAGCATGAGCTGGACCATCCACATTGATCCATCTTCCAGAGGCTTCCGCCCGCTCTGAACCTGTTTACGGTTGCCTTGGCAATGACGTAGCCGACCGATCGGGGGAGATCCAGAGTCCAGACCTGCATTTAAAAGCGTCGCGATCCCCACCGTTCACCACAATCCCCGACTGTTTCCTTTCCTCCACATTCCCCGGACAAGACCTGCCAGTGTAGCCTCCCGCCATGCCCTGGTCCATTGCCCTCCCGCAGGCGATCTTCGCCTCGCCCATCTTCTCCGTCGCGACCCCGATGGCCGGCGGTTCTCTGATCGGTTATCTCGTGAACGGTCAATTCCCCCCGATCCACTAATTGACGAGCCTGCAAAGGCATGGAACCGATCGCTGAACTTCTTTCTAGGTGGCGGCAAAACGAAGCGCAAGTACCGATCCCTGCGCCAACCTCCCTTCTACCCACCCGTCTGGGTCTTCCCGCCCGTCTGGACCTTCCTGTACGCGACCATGGGCTACGCCATCCACCATGCCACCGTCACCGGCACCGTCACCTCCCTGAGCAACCCCTCCGCGACCACACTGCAGGGCTGGGCCGCTACCGCGCAGTCCTTGTACACGACGCAACTGGTTTTCAACTACCTGTGGATGCCGCTGTTCTTCTCTGCGCGGAAACCCAGCTACGCGTTGGTGGATCTCGTCCTGCTCGGAGGCAACGTAGCGGCGTTGATCGGGACCCTGTGGAACAACGATCGCACAGCGGCCTTGATGCTGGTGCCCTATTCGCTGTGGACTGGGTTTGCGGCCTACCTGAACGTGGGAGTCGGGGTGCTGAACAACTGGACGATTGAGGAGAAGAAGCAGGAGTAAATAGGGATGCAGCATGATTGACGATAGTTAATATTATGTGTTGGAAAAATTGGCCTTTCTCTTTGTCTTTCTATACTTGACAATCGATGGAGAAATCTGGCAAACTGTGTATGATATCTACGTGTCGGAATTGTTATGATACCAGAGACTGTAATAGTATACCTTCCATTTACTCAATCACACAATCAATCAACGAATTTTTATAACACTGTGTAAATCCCCATCCCACCCATTCAAACAGCAGCTCAATATCCCCTGGTTTCCCGAATAAACCAGAAGAATAAAAAAACCCTCATTCTTAACACTTCTTACTTCCCTCCTGCGATGACGCCTCACAGCCACTGGCACAAAGCTTCGCATGTCCCACATACCCGGGATTCATACAATGGAAGAGAATATTCTTGAGATCCTCCTTCTCATATTCACTGCCCTTCAATGCCGTGTGCAGATCATCCTCCGAGAAGCCTATGAGTGTGGATATGTTAGTTTCCCAAGTTGGTTTTTTGGCCACGGGGGGAGGGGATTCTGCGAATCTGTGCATGTTTACTTACCCTTCTTCTCCAGCAGTTCACTAGCGCAGTAATCGAAACTCGGGGTACATGTTTTATCAGCCAACGCGGCGGTAGCGAAGAGGGCTGCGATGCCGAGGAGAAGGGAGGCGATTTGCATTGTTGGGTGATATGATGAAGTTGTTCAAGGGGGAGTTAGATAGAGCTGTGACTGGCTTTTGTGAGAGAGATTGGATAGGTAAGACGTGATGGGAGAAGGCAATGGGCTAATTTATCTAGATGATGGAGTGGCGCGGAATGCTGCGTCGGGTTGTGGTATGCTGGTTGTTTACCTATATGAGGATCGCTCTTTGGGTCTGGGGTTGGATGACTATTTGCGATACTGAGTTGGTTGGAACTCGCTCTAGGGAAGGGTAATGAAGGATGAATTCATTGCTGATGTACCGTGCATGATACTTATTAAGTGAACCCAGAGGTAAAACCATCAAATCAATTCCTTCCGAATCGCTGAGATGTTGTTGATCGGAGGTTATACAAGAGCATCCTCACCTAGCTAATAAGCATGAAATTTCACGAAGTTGCCGAGTCAAACATGCGCTTGCTGCAACCGTCACAAGTCATCCAGGCCTAAGGGCAATAAGCATCAAAATGGGAGGTCGAGCGATGAATGGCCGTCACTCCGTCGATCGTGACATTCTTGCCGTCCTGCTGAAGTCCTCCGCCTGGAATGTAAACCCGACCGCCCAAAGTAGCAGCCTGAGTACCATGACGGGGCACGGCCATGGGCGCGAGTTTCCTCCAACGCTGCGACACGGTATCGAACACCTCGGATTGATTGAATAACCCGGTATAAGTGGTCGGATTCCCCTCTCCGCCAAAGGTATACAGTTTAGATCCCACCGCACTGCCGCTAAGACCGCCTCGCGGAACGGACATATGACCGCTGCTTGTACGCCACCCGGTCGCTTGGTTGGTGAGGTCGAGCTCGAAGACCGTGTCGCGGGTATTCTCCTGCCCGAATCGTCGTCCGCCAGCGACGTAGAACGTGTCACCGATGACCGCGCCGCTGCCATGCTGCCGGCTCTCCGGGAGCTCGGCAGCCTCTGCGCTGAGTCTCTTCCATGTGCCTGAGGTCGTGTTGAACGCGGTGACGATGTTCACCGCATCCTGATACTCAGTCTGCAGCACGGTCATCCCACCGGCAAGATAGACCATCTCGCCGTGTACGCCCATGATGGCACTTCCGCGTTCCGTACCGTTCGGCATAGGAGCAAGCTCCGTCCACGTATCGGTGGCGAGATCGTAGGCGTGAGAGGACGTGGAAGCGACCCAGTTCATGACTATCCCAGGTGAGACGGGGCCGTCAACCAAGCCACCCAGGGAGTATAAAGTGTTGCCGACGACGGCAAGGTTGGGATGGTTGACAGGGTAGGGAGCAGGAGATGCGGTGCGCCAAGAGTTCAAGGTGATATCATATAGCTGGAGGATGTCGGTGGTCTGCGTGCCATGCTCAACTGGAACGATGCCCCCAAGGATGGCAATGGTCGAGTTTCCGATGGCAACGGTGCCGTGTTCTTGACGAGACTGTGTCGGAATCGGGGCCAGGTTGACCCATTGTCCAGACCTGCAAGAGGCTGCTGCGGAGGCAAGATCGAAGGCGCTGAGGGCTGTCAACGCAACGAAATTGGACAGATGCATGATAAAGCGTGTTTGAGTAGGAATGACCTAGAAGATCGATAGGAGAAGGAAAGAATCGTATCTGTTGGACAGGAAAAGAGAAGCGGTCGAGCAGGCAGTAGTGATAAATAAACTCGTAGTCACCCGCAGATGAGCCTTGCAGTCCGATCTTCAAGGATGGCATCCCGCAATCTAGGCTACCAGCTCCACCCTAAACGAAAACGCATCCTAGCGTGAGGCTCAGAGGCAGAATCCCTACATCGCCATGAGGCTTTTCGATGTTCGACGTACGCCCGGAGGTGTTGGTCCTGGATGGCTTGGCTGAGTCATGGTTGACTGGTCACGTCACCTGACATCATGCATCTGGATCCGTGGGACTCGTGAAGTGAACGACTCACTCCCTCACAAACACAGGAACGCCCTCTCGAGTGCCAATACTCAGCTAATTAGCAACATGTCGACTAGCGACTTTTCATCCCCTGCACTTTCGGCTAGCACAGGCGGCAAAGTGGAGGACGACGACCGTGCCATTGCAGTAATTCCTGCCAGCACACCACCCCCCGCTGAGATCATCACTCAAGCCAGCCGACTGCCCACACGCCTGGACACGAGGCTGCCCCGGATTGAAAAGCTGTGGGATTTCGAGGATTGGAGTTTCTGGATTCGGAGAGTGAAATGCGCATTGGAGTTACTGGACCTAACCGACCTTGTCGATCTATCCATCTCTCGGCCAGCTCCCGATGACCGCGACTATGAGAAATGGCGGAGAGCAGCAAAAGCCGTGCGATTCTGGTTGCTCAACAACATTTCCAAAGACATTTTTATGAAAGTCATGGACTCGCCCAAGCCCAACACGTGGCCTGACGACCTGCTGAAACTGATTAAATCAGTGGTATTATCTGACCCTCGCGAGATCATGGATAGGGTGGTCGAAATCTCGCGTTCAGATTTTGGATCGATCCCGGAATTTGTGAAGGCACTGCAGGACAGAGTGAGGCTTTCGATTGATGCGGATGTGGCCGTTTCACCCTACCGAGCCTGTCGCATACTGCTCGATGGGATCAACGACGAAATGCCTGACTATGCAGAGGCCGCCCTCGTGGAACTCCATTCCGAGGATGATGAAGTGGATGACTTGTCTTGGGCAAGATTCACGAAACTATGTCGTTCAACGCTTAGGATTATGAAAATGATGGGGTTGACGCCTGTGGCTTCTAAATCTTCCTCGAAAGCATCATCGAGGAGGGCGAAAAAGTTCAATTGACCAGGAAAAGACCAGCACACCTTTCAGACTGGGAAAATTGAGCTGACATCCTGAAGATCAGTGGGAAATCGAATGTCCAGGAATTTGTTCTGCATCGTACCTTCTCTTTTATTTTCGTTCGCTTTTATACATCCTGTCTCCGATCTTATCATTAATTCTCGCCCCGCCTTCGGTTTATTTTTATTTTTCGTTCCTTCACAAGCCGAGATGTAATTATCATTATCCGGGGGGGGCACAGAGACGGTTAATTCATCTTGGCTAGGAATGTGGGGATCTTGCTTGAACCCGACAAAGGCACAATGGACAACAGCTCATAACACAAAGGGATTGATATTGATTCAAGAATTGTGCCTTGCATTTTCGAGAAACAAACAGCTGCCACATGCACCACGTGAGGTTGTTGTAAAAATGACAAGAAAATGAGAGGGTCAGCACTAGCACGGCTGGCATAGGCTACGCGTGCCGGAATCCGGAATGCCCTCATCGCCGATCAATTCGGCTCCACCGCGATTGGCGTTTTGTCTAATCCCTTATCAGGTAGGTTGATAACCCTCGCTTGGGGACTGATAGCCACTGAATGTCGGACAATTGAGGTGAATGTCACCTTGCAAATCTCTGACCAGGCACCGTGCAGATTCACGCTGCAGGTTCAGAATCCAGGACCTTGCATCCCTCGCATCATCAAGCGGGGTAATGGGGTGAGAGTGACAGGATCAGTCTATCAACTGATATGATTCCATCACTCCCTGTCTTTTAAATCAGCCGGACTCCGGTCGATCGCCGATCCTTCGAAGCAACACGGTCTATTTAATTCCCCTCATATCCGGATCTTTGGCCAACCACCGCATGCTCGTTACTGCGCGATGTATTTCTCCGCCAGAGTATTCTCACTGCTGGGGACCTTGGTCCTGTCAGCGGTGTTCACCCATGCATTCGAGCACACGCCGCTCGAGCTAGCAGTGCCCCGACTGCACGCCATCAAACAGCGCCATAAATCCACCGCCGGCGCGGGACTAACGCCACGCGCAGTGCCGGCTGCCTCGTACCCCGAGCACAACCTCTCCGTGCCCGTGGACCATTTCCACAACGATTCACGCTACGCGCCACACACCGACGAGGAATTCAATCTGCGGTACTGGTTCGACGCCAGCCACTACCAGAAAGGCGGACCAGTGATTGTCATCGCCGCAGGAGAAACCGACGCCACCGAGCGCTTTCCATTCCTGTCGCAGGGCATCGTCACGCAGCTGGCCAAAGCGTACCACGGCATCGGGGTGATCCTCGAGCATCGCTACTATGGCAGCAGTTTTCCCTTCGAGAAGCTCGACATAGACAACATTCGCTTCCTGTCCACGGACCAAGCGTTGGCCGATTACGCCTATTTCGCCAAACACGTAAAATTCCCCGGTCTTGAGCATGTCGATCTCACTCCCAATTCGACGCCGTGGATCGCCTACGGCGGGTCGTATGCCGGTGCCTTTGTCGCGTTCCTCCGTAAACTTTACCCTGAGGTGTACTGGGGCGCTGTGTCCTCGTCGGGCGTGACAGCCGCCATTATCGATTACTGGAAGTACTACGAGCCGATCCGCCAGTATGCCCCGAAGGACTGCATCCTCGCGACGCAGGTGTTCATCGATATTGTCGATGAGGTGCTGATCGACAACGCGGACAATAAGACGTCGAACGCGGAGCTGAAGGCGGCGCTCGGGGCCTCTGCCGACCTCGACGACTTCACCTTCGCCAGTTCCCTCTCGGCCGGACTGGACGACTTCCAAGGCCGCAACTGGGACCCGTCGATCGGCAGTCTCGGATTCCGTCACTACTGCGATAACATCACCAGCACGGACCTGCTCTTCCCCGAGACCAAGAAGGTCGAGGAATCGATCAAATATTTCGCTGATGTGGCGGGCTACGACGCGGAAAACGAGACCTTCATCACGCAGATCCTCAACCACGTCGGATTGCTTCGCGACGTCTTCTCGTACTCCGACCTGGGCTCGGACGCCGACACACAGTCCTCCCACAACGACTCGTCGGCCGCAACCCCCCTTCCCAAATCATCCGGCACAAGCTGGAGTTACCAAGTATGCACGGAATGGGGATACTTCACGACGGGCGCCGGAGTCCCGAAGGACATCCTCCCGTTGATATCCCGTGTTCTCGACATCGAGAACCTATCGAGTTTCTGCTCCTCGCAGTTCGGAATCGCCACGCCCCCTAAGGTCGAGAACATCAACAAGCACGGCGGATTCGATTTCTCGTACCCCCGCGTCGCCATCATCGACGGAAAAGCTGATCCGTGGCGGGACGCGACGCCGCACGCCGACGGGACAGCGGATCGCGAGTCCACGGACGAAGAACCGTTCATCCTGGTTGATATCCCAGCGGAGCACGTGTGGGATGGAATCCGGGGCGCGGTGCATCATTGGGATCAGAACGGGGTGCTTGGGAACCAGACCCGGAGTGGCATTCCGCCGAAAGAGGTGGTCGAGGTGCAGAAGGAGGTGGTGCGGTTTGTGGGCGTTTGGTTGGAGAAGTGGAAGCATAGTGGACGTGGGAATAGCACGGTTGCGACCAGACAGAGAGTTATTGGACATAAGCTTTGATGTGGTCGTGAATTGGGTCGTGAACCATGGTTCCGACCGCATGGTGGCCGTTGTCGATAATGTGAAGAATGAAAGTCTGTGGCGCCCGTGTTGATGACGTCGACGGACTCAAATAGATGGGGGAATACGAGACGTAGTATTTCTTGTCTCATATCTGGACCTTTTTCCACATCGTATATGTAGCACATTTTCGTCATTAAATCTGGAGATTGTCTGGACTATTCAAACCTCAATCGAGTATCTATCCGACCTGTGAGTCCATCGCACAATCCATCCTCTCTATAGATCAACCACCAAAATGAAAATCGCTATCATCGGCGGCGGTATATCCGGCTGCACCGCCTACTTGTCACTAAAGAAACACCTCCCCGCATCACGTATCGACAGCATAAAAATCTACGAAGCATATTCCACGCCTCACTCTTCCGACCCACCATCCACCAACACCAATGGATCTAAAGATGCGACCTCAACCCCAACGCCAGTAATCGGCGGCGGACTTGGCCTGTCGCCAAACGGACTCCGCGTTCTCTCTCGGCTCGATCAATCCCAGGCCCTAGTCCAGGATATCGTTCGATCCGGATACGCCATCTCAACCATGTCCTTGAAGACGAAGAATGGGAAGGTTTTAGCAGATTTAGACTCAACATCTGATGCTGGACCGGTTCCAGAAGTGTTTCTGTCTGATTCTAGCTCACATGAGCAGAATGACGATAGTAGTACGGAGATGAGGATGAACATGATAGCCAGTAGTCGGCACGGGTTATGGAAGTGTTTGCGCGACCGGGTTCCAGACGAAGATGTCATTACGAAGAGAGTTGAAGATGTGACCCCGAGACCTGACGGGTTGAATATCGTTCTGTTTGACGATGGCGTACAGGTGGAGGTTGATTTGGTGATTGGGGCGGATGGGTTGAGGAGCGCTACTAGACGGGGGATGTTTAGGACATATACGGAGGGGGGAGAGGAGAGGTATGAGTATCGCCCGCAGTATGAGTATGAGCGTCCCATCCCATTCTGTGACGCGAAATAAAACGGAGATATGAACTTGCTAACCACCTTACACTACAGAGGCCTCATCGGCGTGGGCGGCTTCACGCCCCTTCTACCATCTCTCAAAACACACCTAAAACCGGGCACAATGTCCCTGCTATTCAGCGGTAACGGCTTCTTCGGCTACTTCCCCAGCTCCTCATCCTCCTCACCCTCCACCTCAACCCCATCCCCATACACCATAGCACCCCCAGGAGAAACCCTCAGCTGGTGGTCCACTTACGCCTATCCATCCCCACCCCCAACACCCTCCAGTATCTCTCTATCCACAATAACCACCGACCTAAAGACCCGACACGCGAACTGGAACGACCCGATCATCCAATCCATTCTCGCCACTCTCACAGTCGAAAACATCTACCCGACATGGACGTCCCCTGTCCTGAAAACGTGGGAGAAACACGGCGTGATACTTGTCGGCGACGCGGCGCATGCGTTACCATCGACGAGCGGACAGGGTGCGTCGCAGGGCATGGAGGATGGGGAGGCCTTGGGAATGTTTCTGGCGCATTACATCACCGAGGGAAGAGAGGGGGGAGGGGAAGAAGACGTTGTGCGCACGAAGAGGATCCTCACCCATGCTGCAAAACATTATATTGAGCTTAGAAAGCCGCACGTGGAAGAGATCTTGAATGAGGCGAAACGGATGCAGAATAATAAGCGCGATGTAGGCTGGGTCGGGGAGATGGTGATGTATGCTTTTCTTTGGATTATGGGTAAGTGAATGGGTTTACTTCTGTTGATCGGTTACGATATTATTTCTGTTGGTCCTCCAACTCGTTGCTATTGTGCATGCGCAGACTCGAGTAGAAGACCGCTTTGGCTGGCGGTGAGCAAATCTTGCGGCTTTAGCTCTCGTTGTCTTGATATTTGCTCGAGTTGAGGAAGAGCATTATATACTGACTGCTAACTACGGATTGACAGGCTTCTTCCCCAGCATGGTCTCGCGCAAAAGCAGGGCTATTGTCAACTATAACGTGACGGACGAAGTGAAGAAGGTTATGAACAGGAACCAGGAGGGCTAGCTCCCATCTCACCACCACGGATTTGTTCGTAAAAAGACTTGGGCTAGTCATGTGCTGCTAGGTACGACTAATATAGAAACACCGGAAAATGATGAAAGAAAATCGACGCTCTCTCTCAAATGTCTAACCGAAACCTTGGCCCTAAACCAGAAGTTGGATGGTTCTTCAAAAGTGGGAAAGACTGTGACAGCTAGAGGCTACTCAATTTCAGGCCCATCTCTAGCAGCCTAGAACAGCGGGGTTCGATAATGAAAGTCCTTGCAGTTCATGTCCATATCTCCTGCATGGATAAAGAGCTTGACCACTGCGGTCAGCCCTAAGGACGAGGCTACCAACAACGATGTGCCATGTCTAGGGGCAGCAGCTCATATGCTGTACCATTTTTTAGTATGCATCAGAGGATGGGACCAAGAGCGTCATTGCGCGTTGCACCAGTGGATCCCCTTCTTGTATAGACGCTTGACCGAAGTGCCCGACCCAATTGCGTAATGAATACTTTCTGAAGTCTGACTGACCAAAACCCATTCGATCGCAGGATATGTATGACACGCATATATCTGCAAGAAATTGGTTGGACTCGGATGATAGGAGTGAACTTTTCCAGCTTTGTGATTCCGTGGCCGAGTGGTCTTTGCGCACCAGGAACACCCTTATCAGTTTGATGAAGAAGCTAGATTTTGCCATCTACGACGACCAGGAAGAGACCGCAGAGGTCTCTTAAAGTCCTTTTAAAGCGATATTCCGGCTCAATCTCATCTCTTATATTGACAGGAGCTTGGTGGCCTGACTCCGACGCCAGAGCAAGAGCAAGAGCAAGAGACATCGCTCCAAGCGAGAGAGGCTCCATCGCAGCCGTAATGAGATGAAGAAGACCTCTGGCCTTCTGAAGATCAGAGCTTCGCTGCAATATTCTTTCATATGCGCTGTCAACAGTTTGGAGCAGATTGTGTATTGCTCGACGGACATTGCCTTTTGTGAAAGCCGGCATGTTCTCCAGGACGTCCAATATAAGGCTAACCCACAAATAGGTTCTGTTTTCGACTGCAGTAATTTGACTGACAAGGTGTTCGTATTCGTCAACTTCTAGGTTTCTTTGTTCGCGAATGTCCTTTGCTCGTTTCTTGATGACAAGATTTATTTCGTCTGAAATCTTGTGTGTTTCTTTCTCCCCCTCCCCACTCAGATGAATGATAGCTGGTCTTGCATCCGACCGCCAGAAGAGGCGTTGTATATGGTCATACGGCCTGCTTGTCATCAGGAACTTGAGCTTACTTGAGCTTATTGCTGTCTTGGCGGCCCAAGTAAAACTCGTTGACTGCTCTGATGAGTCGCTTGCGATCATCTTCTGCACACTCGTCTAATGAATCCAGAATGCAAAGAATCTCTTCGGCCTTTTCATTGACTGACGCAGTATTGAGAATTCCCCATAGCGTGGAAAAGGAGTGGACGAGCTCATCACCATCAATATCCCCCTTAGCTAGAACTGAATCCGTTAAGAGGTGAGGCTGAGTGATGAAAAGCTGACGGAGTATGACAGAAATTGCACTGGTTGCACGCCTCTGATTGGAAAAGTCATCTTTAAAAAAAGAAGTAGCAAACTCTCCGCCCGGTTATGCTTGGAAGGTACCCATCAACAAGATATCGTGACAAGGCGGACTTGCCACAACCAGGATCAGCGGATGCCCATAGGAAACCGGAGGATACATCGCGTGTACTTTGTTGCCAAGTTTAAATCGATCGTGGCTGGTGAACCACTCACAAGCTCCTTCCACACGCTCATCAATCCGGTTTTTTCGATCGTTTTATGAGCAGGTGTAAAGGATTTTGAGGAACTTGCTTACTTTCTCGTTTCGAGCCGATGTTATGGCCCACATTTCACGTTCACCCAAGGCGCTCAAAATCGAATCAATTCGACGTAGCAGCTGTTGGTGTCTTTCGCGCGATTCTGCATCTGCAATGAGAGATGCGAACCGATTTGTCTCGGTTTCGAACCTCTCAAAGTCTTTGAGAAGATCGTTCCACCCATCCCGATCGAAGATATCTCCCAAAGCCTGGGAGATCGAGTATCTGTGCAGATAGCAGACCGCTCGAGCCTGGAACTCAAGTATCTTCGAATATACAGAGACAAAAGTCTCTTGAAGCTTGCCCAGAAAGCCGATCGATACCTTTGCTTGTGGTTCAAGGTAGAGGCTTTCCGTGAAACAAAGACGAGGGATTAAGGCAGAAGTCGACTCGAGACCCTAGAATAAAAGGGCGTGTCGATCGTCTACTTGAACGACAAGCTGATCAATGTTAGCATTGCAGATACGAAAGGAATAGTTGACATATGAAGAACGCCAGAGCAGGACTCACTGCAAAGCAAGTTGTAAGCGCGGCACAGGCAATTGCAGCCGGTGGACTCGCACTTGCACCAGCCGTGATAATGTCTTTCGGCGCTAAGGACTTTTTAGATACCCGAACGAGCTGCTCTCGAACTTCAAAGGTATGCTCTCCCAGTCGAAATACCCACTTTTGATCCTCAATTTGCTGCGCTTTACGGTCGAAGAAGTTGCAAAGTTGTGCGCGATCCGTGTCTGTGTCTGTGAACTCCAAGCCGTGTTTGGAAGCAAGAATCTCAGCCGAGGCCGTCAGGATCTTGTTCAGTTGAGCATTCTTCCTCACATCTTGGTCGGCTATAGCCCATAGATCGACATAGATCGATGGGAGGAGCAGGCGTAGCAGAGGTGGGATTGTCGTACAGGTTGGTATCATCGCCTTGGTCGTGATTATCTTGTTCGGCTCACTTTTCATCGGCTCTGGTCGATTGGACAGGGAGATCGATGGCCTGGTTGGAACCGTGCTCTTGCTCCGGACGGGGCCTGTCCGGTGCCTGCGGTTCTTCCCTGTTCGCATGCTTGTCTCTTTTGCCACAGCAGATGCATTTCAACATCGAAAGGAGAGAACATATTGTATCCCAGTACGCTTGGGCAGACACTAGCTCTTTTGGAAGAAAAAGAACTACCACAAGAAATTCTCAGGACGTAGGAGAGGGGTTGAAAAAACGATGTTGATCAGAATTGAAAAGGTTGGGGGGAGGTGAAGTATCGACCAGTGTTATTCCATATTACTTCAACACAAACAGGGCCGTTTCCCTCCGTTCGCTTGGTCATCTTGCTCACCAACTCTGGCATCGTGGTTTCAAGAAGTGAATCATTTTCAGTCGTTTCAGTTACCCACCTCTACCCCTATGTTCGATATTCATACAGTGTTCACCCTACCCCAGCTGCCAAGCATTTCGCCGTATGCGTCCACCTCCCAAGGCACCTTCTGGATAGACCGCTGGGGAAGATCTCGATTCTTCAAATCATTCAATCACTCAATCAATTCAGTATTGACTGGAGCACCATTTCATCCTTTTATTCCATCATCTTTGCCCACTGCGGTTCGTCCGGTCCATGAAACGTCAACACATGGAATGTCCACCACTTGTGCACCGTGCATGATACAAAATGAACCGGTGAGTACCGTGAATATTCCCATAAGATTATATTCAACGCGACTTAAGTGCAAAAATAACGACCTACTCATTCAGCAAATTTTCAAATTCAGAAATCAATCCAAATTCCTCGCGCCCAACGAATGGTCCCCAGTAACCCGATACTCGCCGTCTCCCTTCCACCTCTCCGACTCCTGCAATCCCGATTCGAAATCAAACGGCCCCGAAACAGGCAACCCGGAGTCATCCGTCTTCGGCTGTCCAGCCACCGTCGCCTCCGTGCCATCGGCCCGTCTAGCCGGCGGAATGAACACGTCATAGTACCGCGGCAGCACAAACCCGAGAAGGATAGCAAGGAGACAAAAGTGCGCCAGGATGAAACCCGCGATCATCATGGGATCATACCGGAGGGTATGGAATTCGGGATACGCGAAACTGAAGATAATGGCGAGGATGGGCGCGCTGACGTACCGGAGCAGTACCGGCCAGAAGCGCGGGATGTTCCAGTTGCCGTTGCCGCCGACGTGAGCGTTCAGGTCGCGGCGGAGTTGATTGCCCTGGTTTTGGTTAGATGGGATGTTTGGATCAGGTTCGAGGGTGAGAGGAACGTACAGAGTAGTTCGCCAGATACCAGAATCTACTGAGGAAGGGGTTCCGACCCCAGAAGCTGGCCGCTTTGATGGTTGGGGTGGAGGCGAGGAGGACAGAGGCGATCGTGCATACGATGTAGAGACCAAAGCCGGCTCCAGCACCAGCCTCTGGCATCTCAACACCGTGCGCGACAGCCACGCCGACGATCTGTCCGCCGAAGTAGCCAAAGTTGTACAACAAGAAGGCAGGAAGTCCGGTCTGACTGACGACGTCTTGCCAGCGGTAGACAGTAGTAGCGCTGACAAGCTCGGACCAGACGACGAAGATCAGGCAGATATTGTTGATCCAGCGGTCGATTCCGTCAAGGAGATAGAAGCCGAACTCCGTGCAGTAGGGGAGGCACATGAGAAAAGAGATGATGGTAAGAGAGGTCACGATGACTGGTCGGGGCAGCTTGACGCCGGCATCGACCGCCAACGTGGCACAGGCGTCCAGCATCACGAACGCGGAACTGAATCCAAGGACAACCAGCGTGAAAAACAAGAGAATGGCCCACCAGTTCGCTCCGGGCATATGAATCACGGCTTCAGGCAGAGTGAGGAAACCAACGACGAACGCGCCCAGTCGCTCTCCGTCCTGGGGCCACCGTCGGAGGTATCCAACGACGCCAAAAACAGCAAAGGCGGCAAAGTTCTCGAATAGCACGTTACTGCCGCAGATGAGAACCGCGTCCATGACGGCATTCGAATGCTTGGCGTTATACGACGCATATGAGGTGAAATAACCAAAGCCGATGCCGGTCGAAAAGAAGACCTGCCCGACGGCCGTCTGCCAAACAGTCCCCGAGGCAAGCTGTCCGCCACGCCAGGTCGCCCAGAGCAGTTCCACTCCTTCGCGGGCATTTTCCAAGGAGCACGCACGGCCCACTAGAATGACCGTAGTGACGATCGGAAGACCCATAGTCCAGTAGACAACGCGACCGGTCATGCCGACACCGCGGAAAATGGAAACCCAGATCAGGAACCAGATGAAAGCGCTCCATCCGACCGTCTCGCCCAGGAGGCCCACCGACGGATATTGCGTATACGCGGCGACTCCCTTGTTCCCGTCGGTCAGGCTGCCCGCGATGGGATCGGGATTGGCGACCACGTCGCCCATGTAGAACTCCTCGATGCGACCTTCCCACGGCAGGGGACTGGTGAAGGAGTTGCGGAAGTAGTTCATGATCCAGGCCAGATTCACTGTGAAATATTGCGTCACGATGAAGCTGACCAAAACCGGTCCCATGCCCACACCTTTTAGGCGCCGGTTGATATTATTGAACGCAATGACCGTTCCGCCACGATATGCCTGACCGATCGAAATCTCCAGAATCAGAGCCGGAATGGCGATGGCGAAGACGGCCAGGAGATACGGGATGAACCACTGGAGGCCGTAGTTGTTGTAGACGACCGAGGGGTATCGTAGGAGGTTTCCTTGACCGGCGCAACCGCCCATGGCAGCCAGCAAAAAGGCCGCCCGTGAAGGCCATTGGTCTCGACCATCTTCGGATTTCTGCGGCGGAGGAGCGATCCAAGTTGCGACCTGCTTGAAACGTCGACCGAGCGTCTGGGTGAAGGGACGGGAAATCATCCTGCCTTGGAACCCGCGACGCAGGCGGCAATGAATTCAATATGCAAGGTAAATATAAGCAACGCGACCATGCACGAGGTCAGAAATTCAGCGGACACCCAAAGTCATCAGCGCAGTCCGCCCGGTCGGTTTTTGTATGATTTTGCGACCGACGCCAAGGGAGACGGGGGCAAGGGCAGGTCCCATGCTAGTGACCCCCGGAAATGGTTGAGCCATGCCAAGCAGCGTCAGGGAAGGCATTCTGATCCTGGGCCAGCAGGTTGGCGGATTTGCTGATAGAGGGACCCATGCCAAGAGTCTTGGGAGCATCGCGCTACGACGGTGGTGCTCGACATGGCCTCGTTGTTGGTGTTTTAGAGATTGCCCCCGTCCCTCAGCCAATCTGCGATGCCCGGGACCGCCGATGCTGCCGCTTGGGGATTAGCGCGTCAGGGCTAGACGATCACGTGTGATCACCTGATCTCCGGATGAATCCAGGACTGGCTACCTAGCTGCCTAGCTGCCTGACTGCCTGACTGCCTGGGAGCCTGAGAGCCTGGCTGCCTGCCTCGTGATACCTCATGCCTCATTCTCTCCTCCACGTCGGACAAACAGCATCACCCGTCCACCTCTCTCTGTCATTCAGCATTCACTCTCCGCCGTACCCTCCAGAACATCACCTCCGGTCTCCACTCCCTTTTCCCGGCTCAATCTTTCCGCCAAGCCCCTACCCACTTGGCACAGTGGCGCAATCCCACGGCCTTGATTGCGACATGCAGGATGGAAGCTTGTGGCGGACTAACCTTCTTTCTCGAATGAACGGACCGTCCAAGACCCGTGCGGCCCCATGTCCGGCACCAATCACGACGGATGGGCGCGGTCAACACGAGAACCATTACATGGATGTTGGCGTCCTGGCATGATTCGTGCAGCCTTTTCCGCGTGGCGATCGCGATGGCGGAAGCACGCGATATCAGGGCCGGATGGTGTGTGTAGGGCTGTTTGGAGTCTGGGCTTTAGTGTCTGTTGAGGATTAAGCATAGATGGAGCTAGAGCTACCCGAGCTAGGGGCGAGATGATTATCATGAATCAGGTGGTTTGGCTGGGATAGCATGGTGCTGTCGTTCCATGCTCTCCGTGGTCATCAGATGTGGTGATTTCACAGCCGCAAATCTATTCATTCTTGGGATTTATTACTCGGGACTAACTATTTTTATCAGAGTATCAGTTGTCTCACTTCCCGCCGGATATATATTCTTTGGCCTGGACCACACAGCAGTGCCCCGACAAAAGCTTCCATGCGAGGGACAAGTCCAAATTAACGCTCGAAATGTCGAAGAGCGACACTGAAGAAAGATTGAGTGACGGATATTCTCCAGTATCTACAGCTCGATTACGCAGTACAGAATGAACAACCTCCCAGTTATGCCGATGATCTTGAATGAAGTCCCGGAACGGATTCCTTTAATCTCAGGATCCGAGGACGGTTCACGTTCCTACACACCAGTTGTTTTCGAAATAGAAATAAACAAGGAACATAAAGTAATGCCGATTCTGGAGGACTGTCCAAACTGTTGAATGCCTATACCCAGTACTATATTTTGCTAGTAAACGGCCCCCGGAGTGATCTCCTTCCAGCTACGCACCGCCACCATTTTCTCGGCGGTGATCGTGTCCACACTCTCGCGGAATTCTGCGTCGAAAATGTTGGCATTGAATCTGTTCTCATAGAGTTAGTCTAATAACATCTGGGTCTCCTCGAATTGTTCCTACTCAATCAGCCACCTCATCGGCTCCGCAAGAACCCAAATACCTGTGGCCTTGATGACTCCCAGAACAGCAACAAACGACAAAGGGAGAATGATTACTTCAAGTGACCTTCCATCCAGACAAGAATAGCCCCGTCCATCGGCCAGGGCTTTCTCAGAGCAATACATTGGCACGACACTCAGAAGCAAACCCACCACAAATGGCACCGCCCATGCAGAATAATATAATGTCGGGTGATATTTCGCCGAGTTGACCAGTGCCATAGCAGAAAAGACGGAACTGCTTTTGCGTTCTTGTCTTCAAATAAGTTGCCTGCGGAGATCGATGGATTGCCCGGCTGAAGTTATAAACATCGGTATGTGGGGGGTCGTGTTGATCCGTTATGATGGACAGACAGGAATGAGAAGACAGCGAATCTAAGTTGCTATCTTGGCTTTTCTATGTTGAATTGAACAATATCAGGGACCGATTGTCCCAGAATCTTAATGTTGACTGTAATCCCAATTCTACTCACGAAAAACGTTGGTTATAAAGCATACAGGAGCTATACGCTTGTGCCAACTCTACTGTTCGGCTCTCTAATCACCTAATCTATGATCAGAAGCTGATTGATGCCACGTCTCGCTGTGCACAAAGCTCCTGACTTGACGACATGCCCAGCCCTCGGTGTATCTTCTCCGAGTCACATTTGAGCACCTTACATTAGGTCGGGATGTGGAGCCGGCCCCGGAGCCCGAAGCAATTCACTGTTTGAGGTGTCTACATCCAACCATGTTCGTTCCCCTCTAACTCTCATGTAGAATCCCCGGAATCGAGGTCCATGTGCAGGTGTGGAGAGTGCGGAGCTTACCCCATGCGGAGAAGATTCCCGTAAAATGTACTATCTAGTATCTAACGAAATTCTGCAGGAAATGCAGGGACCATCGTATATTGATCACCACTCCTCGGAGTGAGCTTGGAACCACCGAGCGATCTCCAGTGTTCAAATTACCCAGTCAGTTATTTTGATGATCTTACTCCCGACGTGGAGAGGTCCTTCAATCCAAGTATAAATATTCCCATATGAACCGGAACAAAACTTCAAAAAGTCCAACAGCAACCAAAATTCCACACACTCACAATGCACATCCCCAAGCTCGCCCTCGTTTCCGGCCTCCTCACCCACGCTACAGCCGGGTACCTCGACTGGCGCACGCACACCGTCCACGGCGTGAACCTCGGCGGCTGGCTGTGTCAAGAATCCACCATCGACACGACCTGGTGGGCCGCCAACTCCCTCGGGGCCCCAGACGAATGGGGCCTCTGCGCCAACCAGGGCTCCAAATGCGGTTCTATTCTCGAACGGCGATACGCAACTTTCATCACGCCCAAGGATATCGACACCCTACACGAAGCGGGGATCAACACCCTCCGCATCCCCACGACCTACGCCGCTTGGCTCAAAGTCCCCGGGTCGCAGCTCTACACGGGCAACCAGCTTTCGTTTCTCCGGGATATTTCGACCTACGCGATCACGAAGCACGACATGCACGTCATCATCGATGTCCATTCCCTTCCTGGCGGGGTGAACGGGATGCCTTTCGGCGAAGCAGAGGGACATTACGGATGGTTCCATAACGAGACGGCAATGAAGTACTCTCTGAACGTGATCGACGAGGTTATCGACTTTGTGCAAACTTCCGAACATCCAGACGGGTACTCTATCGCGCCGATCAACGAGCCAGTCGATAACAAAGATATGTCAGCGTTTGGCTCGCCGGCCGCATTGTCAGACGAAGGAGCAGCCTGGACACTATCTTACATCCAGTCGGTGATCTCCAAGGTTGAGAAAGTAAACGCGAAGATTCCCATCGTTTTCCAAGGCAGCTTCCGTCCCGAGAGTTTCTGGTCTCCCAACTTTAAGAATACTACGAACCTCGTGTTTGATGTCCACAACTACTATTTCGCCGGAAGAGGAGCCACAGGAGCAAACATCACCGAATATATCTGTGAAGACGCGATCGCCTCAGCAGGAGACGGCAAGTTCCCGACGTTTGTGGGCGAGTGGTCGATCGAGGCTGAGAAGGCCAATACGCTGGCCGGGCGTCAGAGGGCCCTGAACACGGGGCTTTATGCGTTTGAAGAACACACGAGGGGAAGTTCGTTCTGGACGGCCAAGTTCTCGGGCAATGCGACAGTGAGTGGGGAGGGAAGGCAGAGCGATTATTGGAATTATATGACATGGATTGAGGAAGATATGATCGACCCGGAGGAGGGAAAGAGTGTTTGTTGAGATGCCATTGAGTAGTTGAAGATGAAAATATTTGGGGAATATTGGAGAATCGCTGGTTCGCATAGCTCGAACGTGATAGTGAAAGTGGCTAGCAAGCCCAAAGTGACGATCAACATACTCTACACCCACTGAGAGACACAGTAAGCAAGTAGACATAAGGCTGAAGTCCTGCTTTGTACACAACCAATAATGATACAACGCCAACAGTCGGTGTGACTCTGACACTGCAAATTTCCCCAGGCAGACAAAAGAACGATCATCTAACTCGAGACAGAAAATACTGCTCCAGCTGTGTCATCTCCAGATTCAATAACATCTAATCTATATATATCCGTCCACCGGAAGCAACCCCCGATGAATGACCAACAATTAACTACCTCCCAGTCCAGGATGAACCTATCCAACAAACCCAACTAAACAAGGATCAGACCTCGTCGATCACCGCCCAGCAATCTGCGCCTCCTGTGAGCATCACCAATTAAATTCCCTCCGGGAGAGGATCTTCCCTGCCACGCCGGGGTTCCCAATCCCCGGAACAAAAATAGCGTCCGCGTGGCTATGGGGAATACGATGATTGAGCCAGTCATTTTGCCCGGACAGGAAGAGTTCTTTCTTGGACATTCAGGGATATACGTAATTGACTGATTGATTTAGGTGAAAAGAGGTCTTACTGTCTCGGACACAACGTCTCTAGTATACTGATTGGTTGATCGATACTTCCGTCTGACCTGTATACTCAGTAGTGTACTTCGTACCTCATGAATGTAGCCGCACAACAGAGGACATGTCATTCGGCCCGCACCTCCACATCTCGTTGACACAAGGCCAACCACTCAGGCAGACACAGAGACATGAACAGAGACATGATTCCGTTCTAAGGCAAAAAACTACAATATACCCAGAGATCCAAGACGGTAAGGCGAGCAGGTTACGAGATCTCGGTTCTTGGCGAGAGGCAGATGAGAAACAGGGACAATAAGGACGTGATTCGCGATGGGGAAGGGTCGACGGTGCCGTGTTCACCGGATGCATCATATCGTACTTTCTATGATTGTCTTTCTTTTGTGAATGCTAGATGAGTAGACGGTCATCCACAGAGTTAACAGGAAGGGAAGGAAAAGGTATATAAAGGTGTAGAGATCCTGTCGATTCAATTCATTCTCATCATCATCTCAACAGCAACTCCACCAGCAACAGCCCTCACATCCAAACAATCAAGAAACCAAATCCCCCAAAGAAACATCAATCAACCATCATCAAAATGAAATACACCTTCCTCTCCATCCTCGGCGCCGCCACTCTCGCCACGGCCACCCGCCTCCCGCACGCCGCGCGCGCCGACACCCTCCTGTACCCCTACAGTACGTACCGCTACTGGGTGCAGAGCGGCGACTTCAAAGAAGACCCGCAAGACCAGGTCCTGGTCCTGAAGAACGGCAACCAAGCCGAAGAGACGACCACCATCGTGACATTCGACATCTCTCCGGACCTCGAGGGTAAACGATGCAAGCTCCTCTTTGACCTGCAGGAGCGGGACCTCGCGACCGGCTCGAAGCAGGCCGACGTGTTTACCGCGACGAAGCCGACCGGCGCGCAGGCCAAGAAGGAGGGCGAAGTCAGCACGCAGGCTGTCGCGGCCGCCTCGAAGGAGGTTGCCAAGGTGATTGTGCAGTTGCGCGACGAGCACGCCGGACGCATCAAGGTCGCTGCACCTGGCGTGGCCGAGTGGGTGATGTCCTACGATGGATATCCCGAGTTTGATTGCCCGGCTGGAAAGTTGGCTGGGTTTGAGTTCGTCGGTGTCAATGACCAGGTGGCGATTCGCTGGGATATCGGAGTTACTGGACCCCGTGTGCAGGTTCTCTAGATCATGGGATAGAGACCGGTCATCGTGCAGTTGGCTCAGTTGGCTAATGTGAACTGCTCGGGCTAGAGGAGTGTCTCAGAATGTGCTCGTTATGCTTTCCTGTTATTTCTTGCTTTCTTGATATTTTGCTTTCTTCTTTCCTGGTGTGAAGATGCCCTGAGAAATATTGATAGTGCTTTACCGAATGAATCTGTTGCGTTCTTGAGTGATATCATTATTCATGATGAAGTCTGCTCTTCGGCAGCATCAACCACGTCACCCCCGTAGCGCCCAGCAAACCAACCAAGATCGGCTGAAGGACCTTGACGCCAGTCCTGGCTGCAATAACTCCAGTGATGGCCGGAAATAGCGAGCCGCCGACCTGTCCCAGGACGAAGATGAACGCTGAAGAAATTAGCCTCATCTCACGGATAATATAAGGAAATAAAAACAAACCCAAAGCCGAGGACCGAATCCCAGCATCAAACAACTTCGACGCCACAGAGATGCCCTAGCGTCGTCAGCATGCCATTTACACCCCAAGTCCGGGAAGCACATACCGTCGCAAAGAACGGCCCCGAGAAAAAGCCCAACAGACTGATAGCCACAGCCTCGGTGACAATATTCGGCACCCTAAAGAATCAGCCAGAACCCAAAAAGCAGCCCAATGAATATCCGTAAACATACAACCAAAAGACCAGCTCCAGCGCCAAGCACAAGCACACATAGACAAAGACCATGCGTCGCTCACCAAACCGATACGTCGGCTCTGCCAGCAGCAGTCGTCCCAGAAACGCACCTCCGTAGAACCCAGCCGGCACGTAGCCCATCTCTTTGAGATCGCCGTCGCGAACATGAACCAGGTACTCGACGATCCAACCTGCAGAGATCCATCATCAGCACTTCCCCACACAGTCAGAACCGTATCCACGGTACGGAATACGAGAAGAGGTTAGTTCGACTCGCAAGGGACAGAATCGGGATCTCACCACCGGCCGTGATAACCGCGCCCAGAAAAAAAAAGAAATATAGACTCAACACCCACACGCTGGGCAGCGATAAGGTGGTCCACATCTCCTTGGCCGCGCTGCCTCCCTCAGCCGGCATCACCGCATCGACAGTCCCGTCATCTGCAGGACAAGCCCCGACAGAGACAGTCCGCCGTTTGAATCCCAGCGAATCGCGAAACGCAAACATCACCAAACCAAAGTTCAGAACCCCCAGACCCAGCGGCGCGAGGTAGAATAAACTCCACCGGGCTGTCGGCCCTACCGAAAGGGAAGACGAGGAAGCTACCGCGGTCGAGACGAACGGCGCAACCAAACATCCAGCCATATACATGGCGTGAATAAAGCCCAGCCAGCGATGCGCGGCCTTCACCGACGCGACGAAGGTATTGGCATAGGTATCCTGGTATGCTTGGCCGAGGGCAGCGAAGAAGAAGGTAACGGCGAAGAGCGCGAACGGAGGGGTCCAGGGGCGCAGGGCGTGCGCGAGAACTTGCAGGCTGGCCCCGAGAGCGAGGAAGACTCCGAGATGGAGGTACTGGCTAAGGTAGCTGTTGGATAGGGCGGCGATGAGCCAGCCCACGAAGGTCGTGCCGTAGCTGGTTTGCCCAGGGCAGGGCGATGTCAGTGAGGAGCACTGCGGTCGGAAAGAGGCTGGGGACTTACACGACGGACACCAGATTTGTATCTATATGGTAGGACTCTCGGATGTACGGAATCAGAGCGCCCAAACTGCCATCGTTGAGGCCAGCAACAAAGAAGGCGAAGCCCGCGCTGACCAGTTTCAGGACAAGCCGTGGAGGTGCGGGCTCGTCGCGCTGTTCTACCTGCATCGACTCCATGTTGAGGCTGAACTAAACACCGTGTCTAAATCTCTCAATCTCTCTCTCTCTCTCTCTCTCTCTCTCTCTCTATCCTTATCTGTTCATGCATTCATCATCATTCATCAACCAGGGGACGAGAGTCGGTGGAACGCGGAGAGACGGGCCGCCAGCTCATCTCGGCATATCCACACTTCCCCCAGCGTCACCAATAAGAGGAGTATAAATCACGTTAAACACCGTTAATTTCCCACTAATTAACAATCTACACTTCGGGCCAGTAATATTCGCCCTTCCTCAAAGTCGTCTCCAACGCGCCATCCACCGCAACAAACCCCGCGCGCTTCAACTCCGGAATCACACCGACGATCAACGAGGCCACAAGGCCGCCAAAGACCTGACTCCCCTCCACGTTCAGATGCGTATTATCGTCCGGACTGAGGTTATACGTATGCGCCTGGTCCTCCCCGATGGCATTCAAGTACCGCGTACTCTCCCGGTTCAAGTCGATGTACTTTGCCTTGGAATTCCTCGCCGCCTGGATAGTCGCGACCGTTTGGTCCTCGAGATTCAAGACGATCGTGCCCGTCGACTCGTTGAACGTGCGACGCGACAACGGCGTCACCAGAATCGGCGTGGCCCCAGCCTCACGAGTCTCCGCGACAAACCGCTCCAAGTTGGCCGTGTACTGCGCGACGGAGATATTCTTGGCCGGTTTCTGGTCATTGTGTCCGAATTGGATCGTCACGTAGGGCGCGTAGACGTCGCCGACCTCGCCCGCCTTCTCCAGCACGGTATCCCAGTCGCCTCCGTCGCGGAAACTGACGGTCGTCGCGCCGTTGTGGCCGTAGTTGAGGCCGTTGGCGCCGCGGTGGAGCGTCGTGTTCAGGAAGCCGTCGCCCCAGCCGCCGCCATTGGTCGCTTGCGTAGCGGTCGTGCTGTCCCCTGCTAGCAGGAAGAAGGGCGGTTTGGCCTTGGATCGAGATGAGGGGAGAGGCGAAGAAGAAGAGGGGAGGGCTAGCGCCGAGAGTGCGAAGTGGGTGAGGAGGCGCAGTTGCATGGTGATATCGTGGAGTTCCGGAGGGGTCGGTTAGGTAGTGTGGACTGCGTCAGGGATCGGACTGGGATCCGTAGTGGTCTGTACCGTAGGCGCTGTCATGCTGTGATATATATACACATACTCACATACCTATAGACATCTCGCTGATGCCATTGTCGGTGGCTATCAATCACTTCACGATAGATTGGAGAAGTTTCCACCAACGGGAGAATTCTCCAGATGGCAGAATATCGCCCATCTTCCACAAATTAGAGGCCCCGTGAGGACGGAAGATAGACAGTGAAGAGCTGCTCTGCATGCAGATTGATGTCATTCTTGTGGGGGAATAAGCCCATCGTTGTGCCGGTGGATGAGAGATCCATTATTCTCCGGACTCTACGGAGTGCGGAGCAGGCAGTGGACGGAGGAAAGAGACGGGTCTATGTACGGAGTAGATTCTGTGTTTATCTGTTATCATTTCCACCGCGATCTGAAACATCGACGAGCGATCTCAGGCTTGGTATTCACGAATTCTTTGGATGCAATCGCTCGAGCTAATCCTCAAGGCGTCGGTCCGTCCGCTGTACAAGACTTAAAGCTAATCGTGCAGGTTCGGACTTTTCTCGCTCGGTCTCTTAAATCCTGACGGAAATCTCCGGTGGCTGCGATTGAGCATGGACTGTCGAGTCAAGCACACGTGAAGAGGGTTTAATTATTAATGTCAAATCCTAATGATGACAGTCATCGATCCTCCTGCGCTGTCCTCCTGCCTCTCTCAGCACCACGGTCCAGAGTTGGACTCGTAAACGGAAATCAGTCGACAGACAGTGTGGAGCTGAACAGGGACAAAGAACAGAGCGAAATTAGGAATTCAGACTGTCGACCGTAGATTGCTGCCCAGTACTAACTAACTATCGACCTGCTAGTCCTGGCTAAGGTAGCATTTCTATTTTTCTAGTGCCTTGGTTCCACCGTCGGACAAACCGTACGGTCGCAGGCTGGAAAATCCGAGCTGGGCGTCATCTCACGCCGGCAGTGCACCAGACACTGGTTGCCGGACCATCCGGTGGAGGCGCAGAGCGAGCTCGTCACGAGCTTGGGACTCCTGTTTTGCACGGCCGGACTCCGTGGTTTTGACTCTTTTTGAGTCTGAACTGGAGGCGGCTCCTAAGGGCTTCGGCCCTATCTCCATCGGCCGGATCACCGCGAGGCTACAACTGGGTCCCTTTCAACGGGGGCCAAAAAGTCGGGAAAGAAATTAGCGACTAGAGAACACTAAACCGAACGGGAGAATGAGCCCACCGCAGTCACACTCAATTCGCAAGGCTGGACTAGGCCAATTCCAAAGATCCCCTGATCACTTCTGGTGCCCGCCAAGGCCATTAGATCAGTCTGATGCCGTCGCTGGACCAGTGAGAAGACCGATTGCTCTGCTAGCAGGGCCCTCCTCGCATCAGAGGCAGACCCGAATTGACCCACGGGGACGAAGTGGAGACGAGCAGAGGACAAAGTCTCGGATAGAAGTGAATATGAATGGCGGACGCAGGATCCATGGTTTAGTTCGAGCCAGACAGCCCAGGATCACCGCCAACGAGCTCCAACTAAACCGGTTGCGGCGGTAATTCTGGGCCCAAGAAACGATGAATGAGACGCTTCTTGATTGATTTGTTATTGTCTGCTTCTTTTCCCTGTCGTTTTCTCTTTCATTCGGTCTGCGCCACGGTCATTCTTAGCTGTATTGGCCTTGCTAGAATTAAAATAACCAAAAAACATAATATCGTAAAATGCAATTAAAAGAACCTAAAAAAGTCGGTCTCTTTGTGAACGGCTGATTGCTGACCCCTCTCGCTCCCTCGTCTGGTATTATTATTTCTCTGGATTATTTCCCTCGATTTATTTTAGGCCTTTCGGATTTTCCTTTTCTTTCTTGCCTGCTCTTTGTTTGGACTTTGGACTTCTCTCCCGCATGACGGTGACCCCCCCGACATTCTGAAGCACCGTGGACTTCCGGAACAAAAGGCAAGGAAAGGGAAAAAGACCTCTTCATCAGCTGTCCTCATGCCGTCTCCCGTTCGTGTGATGACATGGCTGCTGCTAGTCCTGCAGGCGGCGATGGTGTCGACACAAACAACTTCGTCGGACAACGATTCATACCCCACTGCGACAGGGAAAAGCAGTCGCACACAGAGCATGACCAAAACAACTGCAACGACGACCTCCGCGTCGAAAACGACCTCTTCTACCACTGGCACTGCGACGCATACCGTGAAAGTCGGCTCCAAGGAAGATCCCCATCAGTACTCGCCGCATAACATCACGGCGAATGTCGGCGACGTGATCATCTTTGAGTTCTATCCGCGCAACCACTCCGTCGTCAGGGCCGATTATCTGGCTCCTTGTGTGCCGGCTAGTAAGGATGTATTCTGGTCCGGGGAGTTTAATAAATTCAATGAGAATAATGGGCAGTTGATAGGACCTGTAAGTATTGGTGGGAAGGAAGATGATCCGGATACATCAAGACTGACGGAATCATAGCCTCCGACTTGGTCTTTGGTTGTGAATGACACTGCTGTGAGTTTCTATCAATATATAGCCGGTCGATGGTCAAAGCCTTGACTAACCTCCTTAGCCAACGTTCTTCTACTGCACGGCGATCGACTCATGTATCGGCAATGGCATGGTCGGCGTCATCAACCCGGTAAGACCTTCGACGATCTTCGTTTCGATCTCATTCTAATAACTTCAGAACTCGAGCATGACCTGGGAGGCCCAATACGAAAAAGCCAAAGACTATCCGTACATGCTTGTGCCCGGACAATCGCCCCCCGCCGAAGGAGACCAACCCAACGGTACCTCCAGCCCATCTCCCAGCTCGTCCAGCAACGGCGGTGGCGGTGGACTCAGCGGCGGCGCTATTGCAGGTATCGTCGTCGGCTGCGTCGCCTTCGTCGCCATCCTCATCGCCCTGTTCTTCGCTCTGGGCCGCAATCGCATATACAAGAAGTGGATGTCATCGGAGGACGGACGCACCGAGCGAACGGCCCAATGGGCCCTGTTCAACAGCCATGGCGAGCGCAAGAGCGAGATGACCGCCAGCGCGCCGGGGCATCCGGGCGATCAGGGAACGTTCGTCTCGAGTCCGGATCCTACTCAACGCGCCTTCTCCCCGCCGCCGCAGCCGGCCAGCGGACACTGGAGCTGGGACTCGACCTCGTTCCAGCAGCAACAACAACACCAGCAACAGATGGGTCAGATGGGCCAGATGGCCCCTACGTCGGGTTACCAGCGCGGCCCGACCGAGTTGGAAGCCCCAATGCCGATGACGCAGATCCCAGAGAGCCACGAACATCACGACGGGCGGTAATGTTATCGAAACATCTATATGAAGTTGGTCACATATTGAGCATGGCGAAATGTCCTTGTGGAGGTGTGATGCTAGCTCTGTCCTTCTATTGTTAATATACTGTTAATACTTTCGCTTCTTCTCCGTCTGGTCTTTGCGGCGCATGATATCCAAATAGGCTTTGTCGGTGTTTCTTCATTTTTACCATTTTTATACCTTGTGTCTAGTCACTCAGCTGGCCAATAGGGCATTCCATGCGCTATGATCAATGTTTTTGCAATATTCCAGAATCCGAACCATGCAGACTGTGCGGAGAGGCACGATAGACCGAGAAAGTCCCGTCTATTCGGTTTGTCCAGTCTGTCTGTGCCACTATCATTGACATCGCTCATTTGCCCCCGTCACCGAGGCTTATCACTTGGCAGCGCCACTAGCATCGCCTTCTCTTCCCCCTTCCGGTTGCTGGTTGCGGATCAGCGCGATAAGCCTCTTATCGGTGACTTGGGTTGTGTCAAGATATGCTAAATGTGCTTATATCAATCATGGAAGCAGGATACAGACTGCCACCGGTTATCGTCCCAGCTCGTGGGCGCGGTTAAATAAATAGTTCACTAGGCCCCTACACGTAACCACGGAGTACCGAAACAGCATTCGGCCTGTGTGACCATGGAGAAGAAAACATTTGTCGAGAATCATAGTGTCGCAGGGGATGTTGTCTCGGGCACCATAACGCCGTACCATCAGACCCAGCGCGGTCTATCGCCACGGCATGTGCAGTTGATGGCCATCGGGGGCTCGATCGGCACAGGTCTTTTTGTCGGTATTGGATCGTATCTACGCGATGCGGGTCCTTTGTCCGTTTTTCTGGGGTATCTGTGCTATGGTATTTTCTTCATCTGGCCATGTAATCTGTGCGTGGGGGAGATGTGTGCCTATCTGCCCATTCGAGGGTCGATATTTGAGTTGGCTGCGCGATACATTGACCCTGCGTTTGGGTTTGCTATGTGAGTTGTCTGACCTTGCTTCTGAGCCTCTCAACTGACTGTTCAGGGGCTGGGTATATTTCTATGGAGGCCTCATGTTAGTCTGCACCGAATATGCGGCCGTCGCGACCGTCATGCAGTACTGGAATACGAGCGTCAATCCAGCCGTCTGGGTCGCCATGGCGCTCGTAGTCTGCTTCCTGTTGAACGTAGTCGCCGTGAAATGGTATGGCGAGAGCGAGTTCATCATGGCGTCTACCAAAGTCCTCCTACTGATCGGCCTCGTCCTGCTCACCTTCATCACGATGGTCGGTGGCAACCCTAACCACGACGTCTACGGATTCCGCAACTGGACACACGGAGTCATGCACGAATACTACACCGACGGTACGACAGGTCGCTTCCTGGGCTTCTTCTCGGTGATGGTCTACGCTGGCTTCTCCGTCGCGGGACCCGACTTGCCCGCGCTGGCAGCCGGCGAGATCCAAAACCCACGCTTCACGATCCCCCGCGTCGTCAAGATGACATTCTACCGCATCGTCGGCTTTTACGTGATTGGAGTCTTTGCCGTCGGTATCATCTGCCCCTCCCAAGACCCACGCCTCCTCTCAGCCATCGACAACGGGAGCGCCGGCTCCGCCGCATCCCCCTGGGTGATCGGGATCACGAACCTGAACATCCACGGACTTCCCGACCTCATCAACCTCCTGATCCTCCTCGCCGGCTGGTCCTGCGGAAACGCCTACCTCTACTCCTCCAGCCGCACGCTCTACTCCCTCGCCCGCGACGGCCAAGCCCCAGCCTTCCTCCTGAAATGCACCGCCGCTGGCGTCCCCATCTACTGCGTGGCCACAGTCTCTGTACTCAGCTGCATCACCTTCCTCGTAGCCTCCAACTCCTCCTCCACCGTATTCTACTGGTTCGTCGACCTCACCACCTGCGCCTTAATCGTCACCTACACCAGCATGGTCATCGTCTTCCTAGCCTGGTACCGCGCCCTGCGCGCGCAAGGCATCTCCCGAGCCAGCTTACCCTGGAAATCGCCTCTGCAGCCCTACTCCGCCATTCTAGCCGTGATCATCGGCTGCACCGTGACGCTCTTCAACGGATTCACGGTGTTCAAGCCTTTCAGCGTGCAGGGATTTATTACGTCCTATTTCGGATTGGCGTTCTGGGTCGTCATGTTTGTGTTTTGGAAGTTCTGGCATCGTACGGAGTGGGTGGATCCCGCGAAGGCGGATATCTATAGAGGGAAAGCGGAGATCGATGAGGAGTGTCGTGTTTGGGAGGAGGGGGGTGTTGAGGAGAGGAGGAGGCAGGAATTGGCGGAGATGGGGTTTGTGAGGAGGACTTGGGAGAGGATGTGGTGATTTTGCCTAATTTTGTTTTTTTTTTTTTTTTTTTTTTTTTTGCTCGGTGATGTTTTCGAAAGATAAGTATGTATCTAGGCGTTGGCTCTATATTATTTTGTTGATACGAGTGTTTCTCCATTAATTCATCGAATAAAAGTCAACTGGCAATTTTCCAGAGAATAATGAATGGAAGACTTCATTATCGTAGATACAGGGACAATGCTATCGTTGTTTTTGCGGTAGCGACTGCGATGCACACAAAAGGGACAACCGAATCCATGAAGAATTATTCATCCTTTCGTCATAAGACTCGATCTCCTGTCTTCCTTAGCCAGATTCATGATCGTTCGTCTCTTTTTATCTGTTGTGTGAATTTTTGGTTCAGTATTTGGTGTCTTCGTGGTATTTCAGCTTTCGAGATTCTCCAAAGCCTTCCTGTCGCAGTTATCAATCCACTAATATCCCAGGACATGAGATGAATACCATACACTGCGCAAGCTGTTGCTCGCGGTCCAGGGTTTGCAGTCAGGTTGACAAAGCACCGAGTGTCAGGTAAACCATAATATACTGGAAACTACCTTCTGCAACACGGAGCACTATCTGCTTCTAGACTCCAACCCGGAGGATGCCGCATCTGTATTGGCAGAGCAGACATGGGAAGCAAAAGCTGAAAGCTTGCACAATTATCATTGTCTCCTTGTAACTACTATCCTCTCCTAGGCTCATATGCGTTTTCTATTGGTTTCCTGGTTTAGGCTCCAACCGACCTATTCGACGACCTATAGCAAGAATCATACAAAGCGAAGCTTGGAACCGCGTCTATCCGCGAAAGGAAAATATGTATGGTTTTGTCTTAGAGCGGGGTTGAAGTTATTTAAAGACCTTGATAGCTGCACCTATCGAACCGGACTCTCAGCCTCTTCCACAACCCCCGCGGAACTCACGACTGCAATATTGCAGTCTTGAACTTCTGCCAATATCCCAACCTCAGAAGCCCGACTGCACTTACCTCCAGTAACTCTGGCGTTTGGTGACTATCGAAAACTAAGGTCATAATGGAGACAGCTCTTGAGAGTCCCCAGGCGAATGGGGCTAACCAGGAGGAGGGGGTTTTCGAAACCCAAGTAATGCCCCTGCTGCGTCGCATTGCTGACGACGTTGACATCATGCGGGAAAACGGATATTCTGAAGCAGAGATAATGGGGATAATCACTCGCATTACCCAGACGATTGACACTGTGCTGGGATCAAACGACGGCCGGGGAGATGGTCCCATGAGCCAGACCATTGACATCGCGTTGGGAGAAGACAACAGCCTGGGAGATACTGCTAGCGAAGAAGACGATGATTTTCCGGAAGATGAATATCCTGAGATATCCACGACGACGATAACTCACCACATCACAGAGGAGAATGAGGTCATCCTGGAAAATACAACTCCTGGTAATCTCCAGTCTGTGATCGAGTATTTATCACAGTTGAATGTAGTCCACTCCTTCCTCGAGTATAACGACGAGCCAAACAAGCTCATAGTTCGCTGGGTGATAATTCGGCATCGTGAGTTCTATTTCATCGACGGGGCCACTATGGCAAAGTTCCTTCGAGCCTTGAATGAGCAAGGCGAGTCCTCGTTCACTCTACAACTCGAGCAGTATGCCATAAATGTTCGGGACAGACCCGAATATCGCGAATTGGATTATGAGGCTGGACGATTTCTCTACGCGATACTTCATTGGAAAATCATAGATGCCGCTAATCTCTGGGAAGCCGATAGACGCCACATGCATCTATTTAATACTGTCCTTCTCTGGCTTCCCGCTATGCGGACCATCGTCGATACCATGGGTGATCGCTATCGAGAGGAGGATCCACTCATGGAAGAACGCCTGGGTGGTTTCCATGATGCTTTCTTGTACCTCCTGAAAGACAGATTTCTAGTAAATCTCTCGGTCTTTGACCCTGACTGCCGGTTACTGTCTGTTTTGCCCCGTCAGCAACACCTGGATTTCGTGGCATGGTTCAATAGTATTTCCATGCACCGATGGCCCAGTCGGTGACCCCATGAGTGTTCCATCGCTGTGGTGTCTAATTTTCTCGATCATGGGGGTCTGATCTTTTAAGGTTGGCACTCGCTGCCTTTCGCGATTTGGATCGATGCAGCGACTTTTCTTTTTCAGAATGAAGAAACTACAGCATGTTAGACTGCCTGTATACGCCTGTGATATTGAAACGTTTTAGTGCACATCAGACGCACACTGGGCTTCAGCTAGTCAGCGGCCTTCAAGACTATCATTCAATTCAGGCATTCTACACCTTCAGCTCCGTCAGAACAACTTGAAAAATCCACGCAGAAGATTTTAATTTCAGTACAATGCGGACCAATAAAGGTCAGTAGTAAATCTACCTCGAGTGGTGCTAAAAATTGTCAAGTCCACTCCATCATCAAATTGTCACCTTTTCAATTCATAGCAATTCGAAGAATTATTTCCTGGGCTTCCAGGCAATGAATTATCATCACCAATATTATCTGTATCTCCCAGTAATTCCACAGGTATAGTAATCTCTACCAATCCAGCGCCTGTGGCATTCAATAACTATCTTTGACATAAGGAGGTCTCTTTAGATCCATGCACCATTTGAATTTTAATTATCCCTCCGTACCCGTGGCCATTAACCATAATCTCTTAGCGCTTAATCAAACTCTTCATCGCGCTTATTCATTTCCAAAGTCCCTGTCAATTGATAATCGATGCCCAAAGTAACTGTTAATTAACTGTTACTCTTGAACCCCAGTCGCTCGCTGACATGACTACATTTTACCTTCGTCGCCTTCTCCTTTTGATCGACTGCAACATTTGTAAACTCCACATAATCCATTTCTGAGCCATCACAACCATCTTGGGATCGGCTACATTGAAACTCGGCAAGGTAACCAGAATTTACAGTGCCGCGAAGACCGGATTAAAGGGATGTCCGGGATATCAAACGTCGAGGTGCTTCAATTAGCATGGGCCCCATCTGGCCTAGATTGTCATCATCTATTTCCCCGTGTATATCGCGTGCCATGAACACTAGCCGTGACGTTGGACACAACTCGGCCGGATATAAGCCGAAAGCCGGGTTAACGGAGGCAGTTCTGCAAGACGAAAGGAAACTAGCTCTAGATCCTGGTCCCCCCGCATTCGCTTCTGACAGGAACTGGCAGAGCCAAGAGGCGTTGATATTAATTTCATGCAGGTCTACTCCGGTATGACGGACGTTTTCCCACGAATGATCAATCTCCGGTGGAGAGCATCATCGGAGTTTCGCGAACACCCCTCTTGTCCCCTTTCACCCACTTAAGCATCCACAATATAAACAGCGTTATGATCATGTTTTTCGGGGAACCTGTTCAACAACAACCTAGGTCTGGGCAATTCATTCCGCTTTACCAACATCATGCGGGCCATCCAGTCTCGAACCCTGCCGCTGCTGGCTACACTTGCAGCCACAGTGCTCGCCCGGCTTCAGACTGACGAGAACTCAACTCACATTTCTCTCAATAACGACCACCTCAGTGTTACCCTCGCCAAATCAAGCGGTCACATTATTGATCTCACGCTTGACGGCCAAGACCTGCTCGGTCCCGCCAGCGGAAACAGCGGGAAAGGCCCCTACCTGGACTGCAGCTGCGTCCCATCTGGCTTCTGGACCCCCGGAGGCAGCAACAAAGCAAACGTCCAGTTAATCAATGGAACCGACTCTGAAGGAGTCGCCTATGGCGGACTCATCATGAGCGATACGTACGCATCCACGAACCAGACTCTCTCGCAGTACTTTTTTCTTCGTGATGGCGAAACCGGTCTACATGCTTTCTCGCGTCTCACGTACTTCAACCCGGAGACCCCTTTCCTTCGAGGTCTCGGCGAGATGCGAACGCTCTTCCGTCCGAACACCAAGCTCTGGACTCATTTCTCGACCAGCGACACGAACTACGGCCCGATGCCGTCCTCAGATGCAAACTCCAAGGGCGTCACTGTGCAAGACGCAACTACCTACCTGGGCAGCACCCCCGACGACCCCTACGTGAAGCAATACTCCGACTACTTCACCAAGTATACTCTGGCCGAGAGCTGGCGCGCACACGACGTCCACGGCCACTACGCCGACGGATCCCAGAGCACGGATGGAAGCACGTTCGGCGCGTGGCTGGTGCACAACACCCGGGAAAGCTACTACGGTGGACCCCTGCATTCGGATCTCGTCGTTGACGGTATTGTGTACAACTACATGGTCTCGGGACATCACGGTGCGCCGGTCCCGAATATCACCCATGGGTTTGATCGGACCTGGGGACCGCAGTTCTATTATTTCAACAAGGGAGAAGCGGGAACGAGCATGGCTGAGTTGCGGGCCAACGCGGCGCAGTTTGCGGACCCGGAGTGGAACGCGCAGTTCTATGATGATATTGCGCGGCATGTACCGAACCTGATTCCTTCTGGTGGCAGGACTGCGTTTTCGGGGAAAATTAAGCTGCCCAAGGGAGCGAAACGGCCTATCATTGTGCTCTCGGAGAATAAACAGGACTTTCAACTCAATGTGTTCGAGACCGAGTCAAAGCAGTACTGGGCGGAGATCGACGCGTCTGGAAAATTCAGCATTCCTCGGGTCGCGAAGGGTACATACAGAGTTACTGTCTACGCGGACGGTGTCTTTGGCTGGTATATCAAGGACGATGTACAGGTCAACGGGCGTCGAGACTGGAGTTTCACCTGGAAAGAAGAGACCGCAGGAAAGGAGATCTGGCGAATCGGTGTCCCCGATAAATCAGCCGGCGAGTACCGTCATGGCTACGAGGTCGACGAATCAAAGAGTCTGCATCCCGAACAATACCGGATTTACTGGGGGCAGTATGATTTTGTGGACGACTTTCCCAAGAGCGTGAACTTCGAGGTCGGGAAGAGCAAAGAGTCCGAAGATCTGAATTACATCCACTGGTCATTTTTCCCTGCAAACGGGAATCGTCTTCGCAATGAGTCTGTCTACGAGAACGTGAATAACTGGACCATTGCGTTCGATCTCTCCAAAAGTCAATTGTCCCGTGCCAGAACGGCTACATTCACCGTGCAAATTGCCGGCACCAAGACAGCCAACGGAAATTCGAAATGGTCGATTATCGATCATCCATATAGCAATCTCCCATGGACAGTCAATGTCAACGACGGCAGCTACGAGTCCACCTGGTGGATCCCTTACTTCCGCAGTGGGTCTTGCGGTGTGCGCAGCGCTGTGGCGTGTCAAAACATCGAGCACAAGTTTGTGTTTCCGACCGCAAAGCTGAAGCAGGGAAAGAACCAGTTTGTCTTGAGTTTGCCATTTAATGCGTCAAGTGTTGAGACGGCCCTCTTGCCGGAAGCTTTGTATGTGCAGTATGATGCTTTGAGGTTGGAGTTAAAATAGACGTGTGATTATATATTTGACCTGGATGAACGTCTAGATCTCTGCTCAGAAAATGAGATCAATTAGAAATTTACTTTTCTAAAACTTTTTCTTCCCATGAGGACTAATGACTTTCACAGAGGGCTGGTCTAGATCAAAACAGACACTCGATAGAAGTGTTGGGTTGGCTTCTGACATTAAAGGATCTTTTCTAGGCCGGTGTCCTACTGTTTGGTCTATGTCCCGTCTTATGTGGTATTGTTGAGCCTTCTGACTGAACACAACTTTCGGTCTCTAGATCCTATTGTCAGAGGACAAATCTTTGTGTCCCTCGCCCGGTTCTATCTCTACCAGTGAGTAGAGATTTCTCATCTTGCTGAGCTGAACAACTCACCAAGCGCTAAACAACGTGACTCCCAAGTAGACCTCTGCAGAGCCCGGCCGCCGAAGGCCCATCTATGCATAATTTCAGGATATAATCTGCTTATCCATCAAAATTAATGACTAGTTAGTTATAACTACCCCTACCGCATATACAACAAATTCAACACCGGCGGCGGGCAGAGCACCTCGCTGGCTACAAGTTCCATCCTACATGACTACATGGACACCAGTATGATCTGGGCTGGTAAGCTTGAAAACGCCATGACATTCCAACTCCTCTACCCGAATGCCGGAAGCCACTCCGGGTACATCCAGAACGGCGATGAAGTCTATCTTAATCTATATGACAAAGACGCAAAGGAACTTGGTTGGGCAGAGCGCATTCTGAATCCCTCGGACTGCGTGGGCTTGGATTAGGACATCAAGACAAATCCTGATCATTATTCCTTCAAATTCAACTATGTTTGAGAGGCGATCAATAGTCTAAGAGGCGACTAAAGCGAAGAATGAAGCGCTTGGAAGTCTAGTGTTGGAATTTTCACTTTTTATATCCCGTGAGACTGTTCGCTCAAAAAAAAAGATCTACGGCGATCACATAATTGAATAGGTATTGTAGTACATGTGGAACCACAGCGGCGCCTTGAGGAAGCTGTTAGGTGTAGCAAATTTATCTATCTCAGATTGCCGTTTTGTCTTGGTGGGGAGATGCAGGTTATAGACATGCCCTCGCCTAGAGTATGAAGGGGAACAGTATGCGTGTAAAGATGATGATAGCGATATGTCAATCTCTTTAGAGTATTATGAAAATTGATCGTGTAGTAGTTGAATTATAAACATCAAGTCAATTCAAGGCTCGAACTAAAGTGCCTAGAAAGATCCGATCAAAATAGTAAGGCTACAGCCGCAAGAGTGGATGGGCACTAATTTAGGTATGCATATTCCAACAACTCTTCCCCCTGTTCAAGCCACAGTTATGCAACATGACTTTTACACAACGCACTACTGTCCGACAGCACTAACATCCCCAGCGTTATCTAATTGTCCCGCTGGTCCCGCTGGTTTCTTCCAACAATAGTATACCTTGTAAAAGCCCAACAGGCGCCATCCAGCGTCTCACGCTCGGCCTCGAGCATCAGCTGTGCGAGGGGCTGCGCTAACGGCTCAGTCACTGCAAACCGCCGCGCGAAGCTCGCGTTGATTATTAGGTTGCAGTCGTGCAATGCGAGCGCCAGATCGCCGGGTGCATCCCGGATGTCAGATCGGATGGCCAGATAGCCTGCTGCGGATAGTTTCGACGAGAGCTGGGGCACCCAGCGCGGCTGGAGGCGAGGATCGTGGCCTTCAGAGAGGCGAAAAAGGCGCTCTAGGGCTGTTGCCGTGGTAGGCCTAGTCTCTGGCTGGTGTTCTTCGGGGGTGGTATAGGGGTTGTTGGTGGTTTCGACTCGGAAGGAGCCCATGTCGACCTCTGACCATTGGAGATAGCTGCCGGGCTCTGTGTAGTGTCAAAAATCGATTCGATTTTTCTAGTTTTATTAGTATTGATGATGGCTATGGATGAAGGAATAGAGAGCAACAGGAAAGCAAACAATTACAACGAGACATATCATAGGAGAGTAGGAAAGTGGGGCAAGACGCACTGAGCAGTTTCATGACTTTATTCAGTACAGACTGAACCTCTTCGTCGATGAGACCAAAGGTAAGATGACTGATATGAACTATATCGTAGATACCAAGCAGATGTTCGGGAGCATTCATCTTGATGTCCCCAACGATGGTGCTAAAATTGGCTGGGAGCCAGTCTTTCGGTGGAAGGACCTCTAACAAGATGTCGAGCCCATCAAGTTGCACCGATGGTGGGAGTCGCCGGGCTACGTCCGTGAGCTAGATTCTATAGACAGCCGATGATATGTCAGGAGCTGCGATGAGTGATGGCTGTCTGCTGCTCTTAACAGCACAGAGGGGACTGGAAACATACCCAGTTCCTGTTCCAATATCTGCGATCCTCAGCCTGGCGTTACCGGTTGGGATGTCAGGGTGTATGTGATATCCAAAGAGCTCTACAAAGAGGTAGTGATGAAGGTTCAGTCCGTTTCAGCGTCAGCCTGCCAAGCCTGGACACAGTGTGAAAGTACTGGGGGAGCTCTAACCGGACGTTTTCGAGATAATCACGGGGAGAACATAGTTTGGGGATTTCGACATGGTGATTAAGGTTGAAGATGAACAAAAGTTGTAAGCTTGTAGGTTATATTTCTTTTCTTATCTATGGTCAAGTCTTCTGAAAGGGAATGACCTGTAGTTCCATCAGCGTGAGCGAAAGATTATAAAGCTCGCCGGAGAAGACACAATACAAGTCGAGTTTTCAAGAGACTCCAGAAGAGAGGGCATTTTCTATAGGACTCTTGGGTAACTCGACTCCAGCCTGGACAATCGATTGGCGTGGAATATGTTTTTAGCCCCGGTACCGTGTTATAGGGCCATGACACGGATTTGTAGGGTTACATTGCTACTGCATAGGTATAAAAATGCCATTCAACCAGTATTTGGTTTTACCTTGGTAATATTTCCTGCACTCAGTACTGTAATAGTGTATGATTATCGGTTCCCATGGCTTACCTTAGCTCCTTGCTTGCATTAGCGTCCTGGGTAGCGTGTCAAGCTGTCAGTTTCCCGGAATCTCACTCCGAGGAATCAAATGAACAAAAAAAAATATTTATATCTTTGAAAAAAAGCAGAAGAAAAGAAAGGAAAAACACAAAACAACAAAGGGGGTTGCAAGTCCCTGTTCACTATGCAGTGCTTCTAATTCCTGGATGCCCTCACCAACCCCTCTTTTAGGCTCCCAGCTGATCAACTTTTAACGGAGCCGCCTAAGGATGTTATTGCAATAATCCAATAATGCTCGACTGGATCTCAGTCGCTAGTGCAACAGGTGTACATATATGCTACCTAGCAGGTCTAACGACTCTTCCAACATGCCCAGTTTCCAGCCCCCTTTCCCTCTCTTTCTTTTTCTTGATTCATCTTTCTTACTTTCTGTAAATTGAATGGATCTGCCGTGCCATTCGGATTTAACAATTTCCAATCCTTGTCCGGAAAACCAGATGCATTGGCCCCGGACTCATCGTGAAATAATCTATAGCCTGCGTGAAGAGGCGTTGACCGCTCTCGCCAGGGGCAAATTCAAAGTCCAACTGAGTGAGGACCAGGGCCAATGCGACTCGGATCTCCATGAGACTTAGGTTCTTTCCGGGACATTGGTAATCGCCTAGACGACAGAGGCCAGTCATTCAGTGCGTTAGCTAGTTTCTCCAAGGTTTGGCATCTCACAAATAAACTCATTTGTTAATCTCTCATGGAAAGGGAAAGCAAGATAATTGACCAATGTTCCATGGTGTGAAAGCTTGTTTGTCCAAGATGAGTTGAGGCTGGGTTGTGAATCGTTCAGGAATCCAGCAATCCGGTTGTATGAAATTGCGCGATTCTGGATGTGTGAAGTTAGAGTTGGTGGGGGGAGTAGATCGAATTAGTGCAGTGACGCACCTCGGCAGACACTGTATTGCGGAACCGCAATGGTGGTCCCGCCGGGGATGAATCTCCCGTAGACGGTCATCCCTTCGGGGGGAGCGAGCCGCAGCCCAGCCGACGCTACGGGCGGGTTTAGGCGCAGTGTCTCGTAGATACACGCCGACAGATGCGACAGGTGCTGGAGGGCCTTGTAGTCGCGCACATTGATCATTGTTAATTCGTCGCGAATCCGTTGCAGGTCATCTGGGTGCCGGACCAAATGGTACATCATGTTCGATAGAACGTGGCACATTGGTTCACTTTTTTATGCTCGGGTTTAGCCCCTACACCCGCCAGCCTCTCAGACCAGTAGGTAGTTGGCGCTGTCTTGGAGCGGGCAAAATCATAATATTGCCATCACTCTGGCTTACGGTGACATCGAAAAGTGCGGCAGCCCTTTGGGTCAACAATCCTGTCTTCACCGAGTTTGCCGCGTAGTTATCTACATGGTTACCATGTCGGGAGATAGGGGCTACGGTGGACTCACTTCATTTCACACGCCAAGGAGAAGGCTGTCACAAGAATCACAGCTCATCGTATCAGTGGAAATCTGACCGCCCACCGGTGGAAGTTGGTGCCGCCTAACGGATGGTTTTAATCCATTTTAATAATTCCAAGAGAGCCAGATACTTTATTGTCCAATTATAGCATACTCGCAACTTGTCTACATGTACATGCAGAGAGTATACGGTATAATCTGAAATGTATTGATTACGATCAGTAGCCCGATCACCTAAGAAGACCCTCGCAACTCTGTCATGACGAGCTTGGTTTATAGTCAGCGAGGTGAGAAGTCTTTAAATCAACTAGTAAGGCTGGAACTAAATGGTGGGACCGAATGTCAAGCAGAAGTAATCTGCGTCCACATTTGGATTTGATATATGTCTACTGTGTTCTGAGAGAATAAAGGAAGAAAACCAATCCATCAACAGTCCCCAACACATAAATACCAAGATCTACTTTCCCGCTGCGAGTTCGTGGACAATTTTCACCACCTCCTCACACTTGGTGAACGTGGGACAATGGCCCGTCTCCAACTCCCAGGTGCGCACCTGACAGCCAGCATCTTGCATCGTCTTGACAAATTTTTTCTGGTAATCCAAGGGCACCGTCGTATCCTGAGTGGAGCAAATATACCCGATCTGCGGGATGCCGCCGTCCTCCGGGCGCCAGGCGACGTGCTGCAGCTTGGCGTCAAACCCATTCCCATTCCACCGCTGGAAGGTAGCAATGTAGGCGTCGGTCTCCTCGTCGGATCTCTCGGATGGGCCGACCACAAGGTTCTTGGGGTCTCGAGAAATGCAGGTCCGGTCGGCGGCGAAGTCAAAGGCCAGGTCCATCAGGTCCCCGTGGCCATGCGAGACGACGACGTCGACCATGGAGATCCCTTCGGTGACGGCGAAACCGACGATATAGACGAGCTGAACGATGCCTCCGGGGAGGCCCTGCGCACGACGGGTGGTGACCCCGAGGCCGTCGGATAGGGCGTTGGTGCCAACCTGACCACCGTAGGAGTGGAGTAAGACCAAAACCTCACGGCCGGCGGAGACGAGACTCTCCACGTAGGTGCGGATCAGGTCACTGTCTTCTTCGAGACCGGCGTTTGGGGGGCGGATACCGTTCATCGAAAGAAGACGGGGGACGTGGACTTCGTGGCCGAGGCGGCGGAGGGCGGTGGTGAATGAGGAGTAGGAAGACGGTTGGTGCCAGGCACCGTGGACGAGGACGATCGTGGGAGTGGCAGTGGCAGTGGAAGTGATATCCATAGTGATTGGTAACAGGATTCGAAAGGGGAAGGGCGAAAGAGAATTTAGAATGAAGAATTATTCAACGGAGAGGGAGGCACTGGCACAGCACATTATATAGCGCGGGAGGGGTCAACTACCCTAACAAAGAAACTACTGCACTATTCCTTCTTTGAGTAGAGCACTCCATAGCCCCCTTAAGTATCGACAGGGGTATATAAAAAGACGGGGTGGTCAGCCTGTGGAGTTAAGTTAAAGCTATGTATCTTACCTATGGTATAGAAAGGAAATGAACCTTGATCATTTCTTGTTTTGTTTTTTCCTATCGCCCGCGGCCCCAACACCCCACATTCTATCTTCCCAAACCGACTGTCACCTCGCTGTCCCGGAAGCTACCTGCTCGATCCGCACTGACGCCTATTGCCTAAGTCTCTAACCTGAGACATCTAGTTATCGGGCATGTAACCTTGCGTAAGTCAAGTTACGCGACTTAACTAGACTGTCTCAGTTCTACACCAAAATCATCGTACGGAAACTAGTGACGTAAACCGTACAACCTCTATCCAGCATATTGAGAATTTACAACTCCCAGATGTGGAAGATCCACTTCGAATATATTCTAAATTCAACTGTAAATTGTTATTTATACAGCACTAAACTTTGTGATTCTATGAATGAACTCCAGACTATTGCCAATGGCTGCATAGTTAAATCGGAGAATTCTCAATATGCTGGCCAGAGGTTGCATAGATATCCAGAACCAATAGCTTCAAATATCATCAAATGCCTCGGTGATTGTTGTTGGAATTCGAGGTATTGGAAGCAGTATATGAGATCGAAAACTTATGAAATCAAGTATCATTATTCTCATGATCATCTAACTACATAGAAGAAGGCCTTATAATATGCTAAATGCAGTGATTAGAATGGACGAATCCTCCGATTCAATTGCAGGAACTCGCCGGCAGGAAGGTGGAATCTCCCGGATTCATGTGAATACCGGGATCTTCCACACATATCTATACATGTTCTACAACATCATTCCTATCGCCACCATCTTTCCCCAACACCTATATCACTAGACACCTCAACATGGGGAAATCATTTGTGTACAGGATCCCAATTCTGCTGCATGTCCATCTTCACAGTTGTGAGTCTCTTGATGATGGAACTCTGCGTCTTCATTCTACCGGTGACTAATCCATAAGGTTAAATGGTAACGTTAGGCTATCATATCACACACAGTATGATGAAATTGACAGTACTATGATGATACAAAAAGCTGGTATAGTAATTAATAATCCATGAAATGCAGTCAGCATGTCTGTGGCTAAATTTTGCATGGGCCATGAAGCATGGTAATGGACATACCTCCGGAGAACACATTCCCAAAATTCCAGCAATGCCACTATCATTCAAGGGGCCATTAGATACGTAAAGCCCGTCTGCTGTTCTGTCCTAACTTCTAGGATCATATCTTTCATCAATAGACCATCTAATCTTTCTTTTGCTGGTGGATTCATTGTGCGCTTTGATCATGTAGTTTTGACCTACGTCCGAATTAGGCAACCCTGAGGACCCAACCTCCGGCTGCGCCATTTTCGCTTGCGCCTTACCGAAAGGGGCATAGTTTCTTCCGTATGTACCTTACTTCTTCCTCGTTTTCTCCTTTGATTTCAGGTCCCAACCTGCAATCCACCCTCGCGGATCGACCATGCTACCTACGCGCTCTTTATGTCCAAATCCATTCTCGAGATTTGGTCCAAGACCACTCAGATTCTTCTCATCAGCCACTTCACTGCAAGCATGCCACTCGAAACCATCTAGTCATGCCAACACATCAAGTCGCGATTCTGAGCAGGATCCAGCCCCAAAACTGGAAACTCGATCACTACTGCAAAAATCCTTCTGGACCTGTCGCTCCACATGGAAGCGCGCGGGCATAAACACCCTTCGTTGTCTGGTAGGCTGCACCATCGGCGACTTCTCGGCCCTTTGGATTCTCCAAACATATCTCCCGGGTTTAGGAATGGGAACGATTATGGGATTATCAAGTATGCTCACCATTTCCAAATTTCCCTTATGATACCCAGTCTTTAGCTGTCCGGAACTAATCAAAACCAGTGGCAAGCGGCATCTCAACCTCGATCCTATTGGAAACCATGCTTCTCAAACATGGCCCCGACAAACTTCCTCTGCGCGCAGCCTTCCGCACCGCAACGGGAATGAGCCTGGTGTCGATGCTCGCAATGGAAGCAGCCGAGAATGCCGTCGACTGGCATTTAACAGGAGGCGTGGTGGCGGTCCATGATCCGGCGTTTTGGGCCGCCGCGGCGGTGAGTATCACGGCGGGATTTTTGGCGCCGTTGCCGTATAATTATGTTCGTTTGAGGAAGTGGGGGAGGAGTTGCCATTGACTCTATGAGATTTAGATGGGATCGATATTGTCTTATTATTATCTGATACAATCTTTCATGTACAGTACATCACATATATACATCTTCACTCAAGCATTGCAGTGGGAAGATCGTAGGTATTTTTTTCATGTGACTACATTAACGGGTCCATCAATGGCCACCTAGTGGTCGAATAGGGATCAAACGAGTCGAGAAGTAAATTCCAGTCCAATGAAGGATCCTTCTTGGTCATTAGCTGATAGAATCATACACACGGCTATATATACTTACCAGAACCTCCGGGATAGAATCGCTTATAGAAAGAGGTGTGATCATGTGCCCTTGGTTAGGCATGTGCTGAATTGTCTCTGTCTCTGTGGCGTCGATTGGCGATGAAGCGTGTATATCGGCTGCCTGGATTCCGAGGCCGTTAGCATCCAGCTCCAGGAATCAAGGCATGAATCCAGTTAGATACATACATCTGCGTAGTCCGGCCGCTCATGGGTTGAGGCTCCGTCGCTGGCATTTGTCGTGTCGGCCAATAAAAGCTCCCGGCACCGCCGCGATGCTTTAGGACAGGCATCATCTAGGTTAACAACGGGGTCGTTTCCTGATGGTGAATTATGATTTCTCGCCGAAGTCACGATTAAATGAAGAAACATGAGCGCTTTGCAACCCTGCTTTTCTGCTCGAACCTTAAATTCGAAATACTGGACGGCGTTCTCAACGCTCTGCCAGAGCGAGCCCATATGGTAGCCTATCCCATAGTCAATGAAAGATGACCGGGAGCCTGGTAGAGATGGAATTCGGGTATCTCTCGCTTTTAGACAGAGCTCGAAGCACAGAGTAGCTGCAGCGTGAAACATGTCATCGCGAAACATCCCCCCACGCAATCTCAGGAGATGGGGGTATGATTGGTTTGTTACAGCGACGGATTGCGCGTCCAAGTCAGACAACTCCAATTGAGCCAGCAGTGCTGTGCTGGCTTGGACACAGAGCCGTCGAGAGTATTCGAATGTGGGGTCGCTGGTGTCTGCGAGAGTGAGGAGGAAAGGCCGATGAAGGGCAAGTAGACATCTATAGATGAGAAAGAGATAGAACGATTTTTGGAACGTCGAGTATTCTGTGCTTTCAGCCGTCTCCTCGCTCCGTAGTGCCAGTGGAATATTCGCCAACCCCGTCATCAACTCGTTACTAATGCTCAAGACCTCCTGGTAGTCTAACGGGCAGCGTAGATTGCTGACACACTTGGCAGTGGCCATACGAGCTTGCAAACTCTGTGCCAAAATGAGTTGAAATGACGTTCGCGTTGCGGTGCTGATTGGTGATGATATGGGAGGATCGATCGAATCAAGCTGAAGACGTTCGTCGTCGATGTTTAATGGAAGAGAGACATCCATTTCATCCCAGGATATTCCCATTGGTGTGCCGTTTTGTAGGGCGGATTGGAGGTCAAGCTCGACAACAGTCAGCCAGATGCGACGCCTCATTTCAGCCATGTAAGTTGAAACCCGGGAAAAATTGGAGGGGTCCGTATGGAGACCCATCGTGATGGCCTCTCGAATGAGGGATCCTGCCGTCATCCAAGCTAAGTCTCCTTCATATGCGACAGCCTGTGCGCCGAGCACCATCAAGCATTTAATTTGAATCATGTCGAGATTCAGCCGAGCATATCCCGTCGTGGAATTGATCCATGACACAACTCCTTCAAACCAAGCCCGCGCGGCTATACTTACACTGCCAGAGTTTGTCTCTTCGGTGGTCTGGGCCTCGTAAAAGTTACTCGAGCATGCCATAAGGGCCAGTAGCTTAGCCACAAAAAGTGTCCTGGAAGCTCGATTGCTGGGAGGCCGCTGCGTGTCCCAATAATCCATGTATTCGGACATGAACTGTGGTTTGTGCAAGATGCGAAATGTGGTTTCAAAACTCGAAAAATAGAGGTCCACCAAAGAATCGGCCGCCCTGCGGCTGGGAACGAATTCTTCTAGTCGCTGCACTGAGGGATATCGTGCAACATCGGGGTCGGACTTCTGTGCCCTCATGTCATGTTTTAGCCGCTTCATTGTCAGATATTCGTCGAACGTGTGATGTGTCTCTTTATGCTTTTCGTCGCTATATTTCTGTAGGTGAGTTTTGAGGTCTGGAAACTATGACCTGGTCAGTGACGGAATATGCAGTGGAGGGAGACAAGGTACCATATCTAGTGTTGTGGCCCAGTGACTTCTTCCAAAGTAGCGTGTTTTATGATCTTTTCCACGGTACGAAAATGAAGAGAAGGCGTTTGACTCGGCAAGCGTCGGTTGACTTGCAGTGTTATCCATCCCCGGAAGTGTTCCAGTTATATGTTCGCGATGCTCGGACACAGTAGCACGATTATTCGCCCTTGACCCCGAAATCGATAATGACTTGTCCTGCGAGAAATTCCTCCGAGGCGTTGACACTTCCTGTTGACAACTCTCAAGGGTAGGTCGGATTGTCTGTGAAGACGGATTCAATGGAGAGGCACTGACGGCGTTCTGCCCCTCTCGCCCGCTAACACTCGACGACAGCGGGTAAAAGCACGTATCTCCGATGCTGTGCTTGACACATTGTGTACATGGTTGAAGGCGGTCACATTTTACCTTCCGTCTCCTGCAGGCCGCGCAGGAAATAGTTCCACGGGGCTTTCGAGGCAATGTCACTTTTCCTTGTTGATTCACTCTCATAATTGATCTCTTCGAGTTCTGGAGCAGTCTCAGAGGATCCATGATGCACGGAACTTTTGCGTGGGTCAGAGATAGATGAGGTCCGAGAGGAGCCACCATTCTTGTCGGTGTCGACGGATAGTCGGGTTGCCATCTCCGGTATCTCCGGAATCCGAAGGCGCGCTAACCATAAAAGGCATTTTCTTTCTCCTACTCCGTCCTTCATGCATTTCTTGGTTATTCTATACAGTGAGTTCCTCTGCCTACACCTCCCTACCACATCCATTTTTTGATTTCTTAGATGTTTTGTGTGAATAGAAAAAAAGGATACATGAAATTTGTTGCCAGCAAACAGTAGCAGAACGAAACTTTTATCCCCCAGTCATCTTAATGTCGTTCGGCCTTGAATGTTCTTCAATCGGTTCCCCTAGCTTCTAGGAAACTCCGGGTTAGATACGGCTGTCATTGGATAATGTATCTTATAACACACACATCCGAAAAGGGGAACTTTTGTCTCCGAGTGTATGCAGCATATAACTTCGCTGATATCCGGAGACTGTTTTGGTTCCATTCCCTCTAGCATCGCGCTGTGCTAACCCTTCAAGTTCCGAGAGAGGATCATTTGGCACCAACAGTATTAGAATGGGTTTCAAGATTTCTCGCACTCAGCGACTGAGTGCAGTCATTGCTATCTCGACGTCCTTCTTCATCGCTGAGATTTCAGGTACAATACTCGCGTCTTACTTTTGCCCCCGTTCCGATCACTTTAGCTGACTTACTATTCTTTAGTGGGTTTCTATACACATTCTCTCGCTCTCATAGCAGACGCTTTTCATTATGTCGGTCAATCATGAAATTTCCCATTCATTTTCCGATTACTAACTATACAACCACAGCTGAACGATCTCATCGGGTTTATTATTGCTCTTGTCGCCGTTGTTGTGCGTTATTTGCTTCTTTATTTTAAACTCCAAGCTTACTTATACATAATTAGGTCTCAAATAAACGCACTCCTCCCAAAACTTTAACATACGGATGGCAGCGTGCGGAGCTTCTTGGCGCGTTCTTCAATGGAGTCCTCCTTTTCGGTCTTGGAATCAGCGTTTTTCTACAATCTATCGAGAGGTTTATCTCGTTGCAACGTATGTTTAATTCCCTGCAAATTTACTCTTCACTCCAGGTATACTGATTTATATGGTGGCTTAGCTGTCGAGAATCCAAAGTTGGTTCTCATCATTGGCTCAATCGGTTTGGGGCTTAATATCATCAGTGTTCTATTCCTGCATGGTGGGCTCTCCTTAAATATCTCTTGAAATCTATATAAGTACCAGACTGCTGATAAACTTTCCAGATCATGGTCATGGACACGATCATGGCCATAACCACAGCCACGACGATCATGCTACCGCCGACGAAGCCGACCTGCACTCAAACACGTATGCTTATTCCTTGACAAATGAAATGGTTTGTATCTCTTATCGTTAAACCATAGGGCAAGACTGACCAATAACAGCACGTTCACCATAAACACCAGATCAACGCGGCCTCTGCCTCTTCCCACAGACCCGGCCACGACCTCGCTATTATGGGAGTTCTAATCCATGTCCTCGGGGACGCCGGTAACAATCTCGGGGTTATGGCCGCCGCGTTGGTCATCTGGCTCGCTGATTACGGTGGAAGATACTATGCTGATCCGGCGGCTAGTATGGGGATCGCATTGATGATCTTTGCTTCCTCTATACCTCTAAGTGAGTCTTTGGTTTTCCGGATATGGTTTAGAAAGCAAAGCTAACAATATAGTCAAACGCGCGGGTCTGATTCTGTTACAAAGTGCCCCGGGGGAAGTTGATCCTGATGACGTGAAACATGATTTGGAAAGAGTATGCAATCTATTCTCTATTCTCGATCTATTATATAACCTAACAAACGAAGCTAATTCTTCTCTAGATACCCGGTGTTCGCGCCATTCACGAGCTTCATATCTGGCGCCTGAACCAGACCAAATCCCTCGCGTCAGCCCACATTCTGCTAACGGATGATGCAAAAGCCAACTTCACTGCTGTGGCAAAAACAATCAATGAATGTTTCCACGCATACGGTATTCATTCAGTCACGCTGCAGCCGGAAGTGTGGTCGGATCGGAAGGGTTTCATGGCTACTCCGGCTGGAAATGATACAGATACAATGTCCGCGCCGTCGGTAAGGCATGACTCCGGTATATCAGAGCGAGATTGTCAACTCGTTTGCGGAAAGCTGTGTGAAGATCTTTCATGCTGCTAAGGGTGTAATCTCGGCTATTTGCTCACATTTGTTCATCGAATGCTGTTAATCTTCTGTAAGGACCATAATTCAAACGCAATATTAATTTCCATCTCACGTGCTCTTTCGATTATTCAATAAACCAACTATTTACTCATGGACGGTAAATAATAACAATTATCCACCATCCGTCTCCCTTCTCTCAATCACCTGTACCACCTCCGCTAAGAATCTCGTATCAAGGTTACATGTGGACCTTCATTTTGTATAAGCCTTGAGATCATACTGTCTCAAGTGACTGGTACATGCTCTTCTCTCTTCCCACCCAACATAGCCGCATCGTTCATAACCTTGTCTGCCATGTTCTCTACACGCTTGTCTGAGTAGATCCTCTTAGAGCTGGCCGCAAACGGCAAGTCAGCAGCGTTGAGTTTATCTGCCACGTTTTCTTCGCCCTTGGTGGCGCCCTCGGAGTTGGCAATAGACGGCACATCCGCAGCGCTGAACTTATCCGCGATGCTGCCCTCACGCTTGTTCGAGGAGATCTTTTTATCTTTTGCAAGAGATGGCACGTCAGCAGCATTGAGCTTATTCATAATGCTCTCCCCACGCTTACCAGTGGAGGTCTCTCTGAGGTTGACAACAGACGGCACATCAGCTGCATTGGCGACGATAGGGGCATTTCCATCGCGTTTCGTCGCTTGTCCGTTTTCGTTGGCATCGATGCCATCGGCCAGAGCTATGACATTGCCGTTGCGCTTCGTCGATTGCTCGATTGCGCGCGGAGCAGGGCCGTTGGCCATGGCAAGGGCATTATCGTTTCGTTTCATCATTCCTTCGTTTTCAGCGCGAGCGAGACCGTCGCTGGCTGCGTTGAAGGCGGGATACGGGGCGGCCATGGCCGTGGAGAAGGCCAGGGTGATGCTAGTGAGGAGGGTTGCTTTCATTTTGATATCGCAAGTTGAACAAAGCTTGGGTTCGTAGGAAAGGTCAAGAAGTACTATGTTTCTTTTGATTTAGAAAAGGGATATTGTTTATAATCCTCGAAGGCTACCATGGGAAAGAACGGGTTTATATCGTTTTCGACAAGTTGATCTTCTGAGGAGGTGGCGAAGGCAACAGACATGTCATATTGCAGATCATTGCAACCTTGCAAGACAAGTTCTCTATAGTGTATGTAGCGACGTCATTCAATAGCCTGAATTATCGACATACGTGTATATCTTATGAGATGCCGCAGGGGGGAGGGAAGAGGTGTCGCATAAAACGAACAACCTGTTGAGATCATTGGGTATCAGGGCGCTCATCTGTTCTGAAGTCTGCGCATGCCTATGAATCTCTCACACATGACCCCGGGTGAACTGAACATGTCATAAATGTTTACCAGATGGATCTGAGCGTTACTATATTGGGATGTGGTGGGATTTTGCTGAGCAGGTCCATCTCCTTCCAGGACATTTGTAATCGTCGAGGCATACCTAGAGGGTCGAACTTAAATGCGACCTCTTGTTCGTTATGCGATACCAGATCGACACCTGGTCCAAGCCGATCGAGCTCTCTCAGTTTCGAGAAGTAGATTGTAGAGCAATTTGCGAGCGATTGACACATTGAAAAAGGAAGATACCCAATAAAGAATGTATCATCTTCTTCCGGATCCGTCGAGACGCCAGTGAGAAGCCCGTTATCGTCGACCATGATTACACGAACCTCCGGCGAAAGGAAATCAGCGAACTGCGCAAGAACTGAGACCTCAACATCCTCTTCAGGCCGGAAGAGCTTGGCTGTTCCTTTCACTTTGATCAGTCGCAGCCGATCCCAATCCCAAACGTTGCAGTGGATTTCAGTTGTGGACTGCTGGGGCGGATGAGTAGCGATCAGTGTCCAGCAAGGAGTGTTTTGTAGTTTTGATGCGGTCTCAGTCGGCAGATGATTCCATTCTCGGGCGCTTACTCGCGAGACCTTATTTGTTGCGTGAAATCTTCTGGGACCAGATCATCTCGAAACCATGGAAGCATTTTTCCCTACGGAGTACACTGCTGGTTGTCTTCAAAGCATTACTGACCTGACGATTTGACCACTCTAAACTTGTTGATCTTCTGCTAGTTAACCGTTGGTCCAAATATATCGGCAGTCAATGTCCTCCAAACATATTGCGAACAATTTGATCAAAACAACGCAACTAGATGATAGATCTTGTTGTTTTTCACTGCTTGACACTCTAGCCACTTCGAGCGATCGCTGCATCTCTGTTGCTTTAAAAAAGAGAAAGAGAGAGAGAGAAAGAGAGAGAGAGAAAGAGAGAGAGAAAGAAAGAAAGCCAAGACAAAAACAGGGTCTCCTCATAGCAAAACTGCTCGTCGAAACGTTCCTCCTGAACCCCTTGATTAAATTAAAATACATTAAAACGGCCGATAAACTTTTCCGAAAGTTCTCCGGACCGCGTCCCTGAGCAAGACCGTCGTTTTGCTTTGAAACGGATGGGGCAGTTGGCGCGTCTCCTTCGGGTGATGATTGACATCTCGCGGCCTCAGCCCAGATCGTTCCGTGGATGCTTCCTGCCGCCAAATATGACCGGCGGGGGGCCGGGGGGGGGGGGGGGGGTCTCGGACCAGAATGTAGCTAGATCCTGCTTTAGTTTCCCTGCGAATTTACTTTCGTATCTTGACAGGTTGACGTACTCGTTCGCTGATCCCTTATAGGAACGCTCCGCTCAATGTCCCATCCAAGTGTCAGGGGTCCTGCATCACGTCGACTGGTTGGGCAATTTTCCGATGTGAAAAGGGACCCGGTGGAATCGCCGGAGGGTCTCCGTTGAGCGTGGCGCTATATATAACAAATCCCACGAGCGGTGTCGACTTCGAACCTTAAGATACTGCCTACGTGGTACGGGGTGCATCAGTTGTATCTCTTTCAGGTAGAACATCACTAAGAAAATGCGTTCCAGTCTTACCTTCGGGGCCCTTGCCTCCCTTTCACTCGTTCAAGGTTTCACTCACCCCGGCCTTCTCCATACGAACGAGGACTTTGACCGCATCAAGTCCAAGGTCCAGGCTAGCGCTGAGCCCTGGATCACCGGCTGGTACAAGCTGACCAACAACTCCTACGCATCGCCGTCGTACACCAACACGGCGCAGGAGGTCATTTATCGCGGCGACGACGGCACTCACTCCCAGAACTACCCCAACCTATATCGCGACATTGCAGCCGCTTACGCCCTCGCCATACAGTGGAAAGTCACCGACAACACCACCTACGCGGACTCCGCCGTCGCCATCCTCGATGCCTGGGGTACCACCCTAACCGGGATCTCCGGTAGCTCGGACAAGTTCCTGGCTTCGGGAATCTACGGCTACGAGCTAGCGAACGCAGCCGAGTTGATGCGCGACTACGACGGCTGGTCGACCGAGAGCTTCAACACTCTGCGCGACATGATGGTGAACGTGTTCTACCCGATGAATCGGGACTTCTTTGTGCGACACAACGACGCCGAGGTCGATCACTACTGGGCGAACTGGGATCTTTGCAACATCGCATCCATGCTATCCATCGGCGTTCTGTCCGACAACGAGACCATGTATCAGGAAGCAGTGGATTATTTCAAGAACGGCGACGGTAACGGCCAGCTGGGGAAGATGGTCTGGAAACTGTACGATGTCGATGGACAAAGTCTAGGCCAGGGACAGGAGGCCGGGCGGGATCAGGGTCACTCGATGCTGGACTTTGCCCTGCTGGGCCCTATCGCCCTGTCGGCTTATAACCAGGGTGATGACCTGTTTGAGTACTTGGACAACCGGATTCTCGCTGGGTATGTTCACTATTATCTCAGAATGTTTAACCAATATGCTGACAATATCTCAGTGCCGAGTACGTCGCCAAGTACAATCTGGGCGAAGATGTTCCCTACACGACATACGTCAACAGCGATGTCACGCAGGATGTAATCAGCGAGGCCGGCCGTGGTGATATCCGTCCACTTTGGGAGCTGCTGTACAATCACTACGGTGTGCTGAAAAAGCTGGACGTCACCTGGACGAAGAAATATCGTGATATGGTGGTTGAGAACGGCGACGGAGCTGAAGGAGGTGGTGGTGACTATGGAAGCACCAGCGGGGGATTCGACCAGTTGGGTCATGGGACGCTTTTATACACGCTGGAGTAAATTATATTGGACTTCTGCTGAAGCAGATGTGAACGTTCTACCGGGGACCACAAGCTTAACGGTATTTTGTTTTAGTTAACGTAATCAGACAACAAAACAGTAGAATAACAAGTTGGCGTGGTGTTACCCGGAGCCCGAAACCACAGCGTTGATGTGAAGAGGTCAGTAGAATATCTACTCTTCTTTATTCCCCAAACATATCTAGTACCATGTGATAAACTCAGGCATGAAGAAATGATCTTTATTGTACGCTTGTTACGAAACACTAGGTTGAGGAGAGGAGAAGAAGAAAACAGCGATTTACTGCATGAAGCAGTAAACAATCCCATCAAACAGTGCAAACTATGTAAACACCCCAGCGTAGGTCCGACGATCAACCAGCATGGTGCCAAGGCTCTATCATCTTCCCCGACCCTCCCTTTCTCTCTAGCTGGCCAGGACCGGTTTCTCACTTGGGCAAGGGCCTCTCTCCATCTCCTTGTCTATATTGCCCAGAAATTTCAGTTCCCTCCTGCATGTCTACTCAGATACGATGAACTCGGATTTTACCACATTCCATCACGTGTTACATGTTTTCCAGGTTCTGGCGGTCCTCCAGTTCATTGATTGCCCATCCTGTTAATACGTCAGGGATCTGTTGGTGATAAGTAACGTGCGTGATATTCAAAAGAGATGGATCGAGAGATCCCTATCTAGGAAGCCATTGTGGGCGGTGCTAGTCTACATATGGTAATGGAGGCGAAGGGCTTGGAGCACCTCCTCAACCGGATCAACATGGAACTGACAGTAAATCTTTCGGTTTTGAGTTCTCTTTGTATCAAATAGGCTTTTCGGATTCTGTAGAACAGTCGGTAACAGAACAGAAGAATATGATGACGTCTTTGAAAATTACCAACATCTGCTGATTGCCTTTGCCCATTCCTCCCCTCAATACGGATAGTCTGGTACCCCAGAGATACCCCTGTCAACGGCCGAATTACGTCAAGAATCCAGACCGAAATGTCCCCATCAATCCTCTTCAGGCAACAGGGCTTACTTTGCATTAGTGGCCTTCACGGCGCAGTATTTTCCTCCCATTAGACGAGCGATGAAAACCCGACACAACGGTACAGGCACCACTGTCTATCGTCGGCGAGAAGACAACCCTCTAAGGTCAGCAAAACCCCAGACCTCGAACCATTTAGGAGGGGGTTGAATTGCCAACCTTTCGCTCGAACAAGCCATTTGTTCCAAAAAAAAAAAATTTAATATGAATCCTGCTGTACTTTTGTTCCTCTGTGATGTCATAAGAAAAGTACCGTCTACCTATTCCTGACTTTTATCGTGGCCCAGGGTGCCCCTTGGGAGTGTACTTGTACTTCGTTCCTGCCGTGCGCACGGAAACTTCCGGCGTTTATGGTTGGGCTCGTAATTTCGTGGATGGCCGGTCCGTATCGCCCATTTCTCCGCGTAGGGCGAACTCGATGTACCTGACTGCGATTGCCAAGCGGTTTGACCTTTCACCTCGTTGATCTTTGGCCCAGCTGGGCCAAAATAGGGAAACCTGTGGCGGTGCCCGACGCAACCTGTTGTGGCTGCACGTCTTCTCTTTCCTCCTTCCCCCTCTTTCCATCTGAGATCTTAGGTTGCTTCCCTTTCCCTAGCTTATTTCCGGGGTACCTATTTCAAAAGAAAAGCATACCGTCATAAGCAACATTCAGCCAAGATTCCCCCCCTCCTTGCCGGCTTGATGAATTGTGCAGTTTCTATTGTAGACTACAATCCTAGGCCTAGATGTAGAATATGGTCGTGAAGTACCGCACGAAAATAATTAACAACAAAGCAGCCGGTCTTACCACAGAGAACGAAGGTATATATTCTATGACCATTTATTAGTCGATGATTGAGATATAAACAGTGGCCCCTTTCAGGATTGATGCGCAATTGCGTATCCAAAGATTCGAGTGGGTGAATTCCCTAATTTTTAGCGCCTACGGTTTCTCATTTTGCTTTTTGGGATCCAAAATCGATCCACAGGTCCACTCTGGGGATTCTAGCGAGGTTCTGAGAGGATTCTGGAAGGCCTTGGTAACGCCAAGGTTGTGCAAACGGGTAGTGGGTCAAATCAACGAGGACAAGGTTTGAAGTGGTTAAGCTCAGAGTAATAGTGGAGTTCGATCGGTCCGAGCTGTACGAGGCCTAAGCCATAAGGAGAATGCAAATGAATGAAGTAATACTCTATCTAAAACTTATCCTAGAGTGCAGAGATAATTGAGTGCTTTAGTGTTTGAAGAGGATTGTGGCCTCTGCAAAATATGAGCCTCGGACAGACTAATGTTGTTCCCGGCCTCCGAGCTAATTACATCTCATCAGGAAGGTCCCTGACATGATGTTGTTTGTTGCTACTAAGCGAGTGTTTGCTGAAGATGCCTTTGTCAACGAAAATGATCGCTAGACCACAAAAAGTGTGAACACACTAAGTGGGCTTTATACAGTCTATTTCGGTCTTTTCGGGTTGGATGGTCTTTCTGGCCAAGAGCTTTGGGACTCAATCTGGGCCTTCTGCCAGAGCGTCCGTGGCTTCGCGCGGAACATACTTGAGCCCATCCGACGGCGAGGGACATGAGTACGCCGCAGGCCGTCAAAGATCGTGCGTTTCTGTGGCTGATCTGGCCGACCAAAGATCACTCGAGTGGCAAGTCTGAAAGTATAAATGAATCGACTAACTGACTAACTAACCTCTTCCGAAGCTGAACCCCTTGAGGGTGCCTACATTCTGCCCCAGCTGCAAACCGGAATTGTGGGAACCCGAAAATGTTGCATTCGACACATTCTGCGCCCCTTTGTCCTCCTCCGGAAGAACAATCTTGGACGCCCATTGGGTAAGAGCCCGAGACACCTTCTTGAAGTCCTTGTGATCCTCGCTGTCATACTGGCTCAATTGTAGCTGATTGCGCGCCAGCCGCTCAGGGGGCGGAGCCTCCGGGCTTCGGGCCAACGCCTCATCCACGATCTTCACGTCCTTGCCGCCCAGCGTGGTGCCGGCTCCGGCATAGAAGGCCTCCACCTCGAACTCAGCGCCTGCTTGCTTGAGACCGGCAAAGGCCAGGGGGATGCCGCTGAGCCGATCTAACCGGTCTTTCAGGTCCGACTCCATCGGGATCTCCGCCTGAGCCATTTGGAAATACTTTGTGACTGCCGCCAGCGATCCCGTTCGGAAATGTGGCGTCCCTAGCAGTAATATACCGTGGATATAGCCGATGAGCTCCCTTTTCCTGGGATGTTCTGCAGCTCGGACTAGCGCCTGGACATAATAATATCCTACGTTAGTGGTATTTTCCCGTGGACAGACATATACATGGCCCACGTATGTATACACACGCACGGAAAGAGAGGGGAACGTACATTCTCCAGAACAGTGCCACCGAGACAATGTGCGACGAAAATAATCGGTCTTTCTTCCTATTCTGCTCTGTCAGCTAGCTGGATAAACAGGACACTGGTGGGGCCGGGGGCGGGGGGCTGGCTGGGAAACCTTTTGTTTCTCAGTTCGATGGTCCATCAGCTCGTTGATCAGATCGTTGGAGATGTCAGTGATTTCGTCGTCCTCGTCAAAGAAAGAACCGATAGCCGCTTGATACTCGAAGGAGAGGATGCATGCGTCGGGAACTTTAGCCGGGAGGAGCTTGTCGGGCCAGAAGACATCCGCCTCGGACGTCCACGGTGCTCGGTCGCCATGCAAGCCGTGGACAAACACGATACTGCGGGTGCTTCGGGTAAGTATGTGAATTTTGAATCGAATGGGCTACAAAAGGAGACTAGAGCGATCATACTCAACTTTGGCGTTGGCCGGTTCCCGAACAGCTCGGATAGACATCTTGAAGCACAATGCAAGAGGAGTGACTGGCAGAGTGGAAGCGTGGAAAAATGACAAGCAGACAACAGGATCCATCTTGAGATATATTTTTTAATTTGGCTGTTAATTTAGTCGATTGGGTAATGTTTATTTCATTACCAAAATTACACGATGCGGCTGAAGGACGACCTCAATTTTGATCTTTGCGTTGAGCAATTTCCCTCCATGATTGGGGCTGGCTGACACCTTCGTTCGGCCTTCCCCGACGGCTTGTGCGTCAGGTCCATGCAGGACGTCCAAGAAGGCAAGAACGGCAGTCCTGCTATTGGGCTAAATATTCTCAGTTAATATCCTACCCCGTATAAGGTGGAGGCGAGCCGTTCTATGAGATCTCAGCTATCGATTCCTTCTGGATTGCGGCTGGCCACATATGCGAATCCTCATGTCACCGGCGCACGTGGCAGAGAAAGTGTACCGTCTGAGGAAGACGGACAAGACTATCACCGAGTTAGAGGGGGATACCATCGAGGTTTCCAGGAGAGGGCCACGCTAGTCGCACAGCCTGGAGCGCGCGGGGGTCCTGCTGTATGATGTAGACTATCAGTTCTAATCGAAACAATTACCCCCGCCCTTGAGTGTTCACACGCACCCCAGAGATGCCCAATCGCCGCCTTAGTCTTGTGCTGTACTACTTGGACATGAAGCATGTCGTAGTCTTCTGAATGGGATACTTCATTTGTATGTTGAAGACTATTTGATTTTCGAACCGAAACGGCGGTACAGTATTTTTCAATGCTTCGAGGCCAAGTGGGGGTTGCGCCAGCTGTTCGCTCTCAATTGGTTGGCCAGTTTCATTACATCTCTCACTGTCAGCTCAGCTCTGCACCCTTGGATAGCACATTGTGCGCCATCAGATGAGGGGCTGGACTCTGCTGGCTCCCGAATCTTGGCTTCTCTGTGCCAAATACATATTTCCAGACCTTCTTTACTCTTTCAATCTCGCTCTAGTAACTCACCTCACCCGCTTGCATGGATACTCAGACTCAGGTAGAAATCGCCGCAGGGCAGGCGTCCGATCTCGTCCAACTATGGCAGAGAGCAGTCGAAGACTATGAGAAACGGACCAAGAAAAGTCTGCACCTGGCACAGTTCAGCAACATGGGCCAAATCATGAAGGGCACGGAAGGCTTGTCGAACGAGTTCAAGGATTTCCGGCATGACCGATCGAAAACAGACAATGTGCGGACCGCATTGAAAAACAACCTCTGGCTGATTCAGAAGGTCGTCAATACGGTCGAGGTGGTTGGGACTGCTGCATCGGTAGGTTTCTTATATCATGTTAACAGCGTGTATGCCGTTGAATGCCGATGATGGTTGCCAGGCCTTTCCTCCTGCGATGCCGGCCGGCTTGATTTTCACGGCCTTTGGGCAGGTCATGCAGGTATGATACTCCAGAGGGAAAAAATACTGGTTTAGAATAACCATCTCTATTGACGCCCTCAGTCTTTTGCCACGGTATCTGCCGACTATGACAAGATCATGGGGTTTTTCGACTTCACGCATCGTTTTTTCGACAGGCTCTCGATGATCGAGAAGAAAACTCCACAGCAACAGCCGTTTCAGCGATGTGTTGCTCGTGTCTTCTCAGGCATGCTGACCATTTGTTCCGTGGCCCAGGAATATGCCGAGAAAAAGAGATTAAGTGAGCAGCTTTCCTTGATCACACACTCTCTTGTTGCTTTAGCTGTTGATTCATATTCTTTCATCTAGAGAAGTGGTTTAGCAACTTGATTGATGGATCGGATGGGGCTCTCTCGGGAGCGATCCAGGACATGGAGGAGGCCGTGAATGAGCTGACTCAGGCCGTCGGTCTGGCCACGTTTCGGACTGTTGAGATCCTGGACGACATTGTTCAACGCATGAATGGAAACGTCGAGTTCCTCGTCACGCAAGTTACTGTGATCGATGGGCGCATGGCAGCCATCCAATCCGACACGGGGACGATTCTCGAACAGAATCGGCAGCTGGAACGGAAGCAGGACGCCCTGATCCAGATGCTGGACGAGCAATCCCGGTTATTCAACGACGCGGTACGGAGTTTCGACTATATCCAGATGGGGGCCAATTTTGGACCAAGCTTCCAGACGAGTCTGCTGAAACTGGACGTCGTACGTCTCCGGCTGACCCGATGGGGTCAGTCCGTCGGACTGGCGAACGTCCACGACGATGTGAAACGACTCCAGATGACGAGCCTCACCCCGGAAGATCGAGAGCAGGTCCAAGACCTTCTGGCCCAGGTTCTGGAGCTCTTTGCGGAAGCCGAGGCGGCTTCGAAGCGATTACGAAGGCGCAACCCCAGCGTGCCAGTGCTGAACGCCGCGGAAGAGCTAGACAGCGTCTCAGCCTCACTTCACCAGAAGATGGAAGATCTCGCAAAGAAGCGGCAGGGCAAATCCCAGTTGAAGCAGGACCAATTGACGATCCTGTACGAGGAGAAGAATTTCATCCGACTGATCGACGACATCAGCGAATTGGTGGACGGGTTGGTCGATCTTTTCCCGGGAATCCAAGAAGAACAGTGCAGGCTGTGTGAGGAAGAGGTGTCCGGAATGAACACGAACGAGAGCGTGCTTCCGCTACTGAAAGAGGTCGCTGCTGGCCACGACAAGCTGCTGAGTGACACGGTTGTCAAAGTCGTCCAATCGACCACCGCCTACACCAACAGTGTGGTGTTCTCGGGGGTCAACTCGGGCTTCCAGCTAGGAAACAATTCCGGCAGGATTAGCGGTGTTCGCTTTGGCAGTTCCTAATTACGTCTGGCATGTGGTAACAGTTCAAGATAAACAATGAATCCAATATACTCATATTGATGTCAATCTCCATCTACTATCGTGAACCTCAACAACAATAGTAATCCCGGTGTCCATAAAGAATGAGAGGCAAGTGAGAGAAAGGAAACGGGCGTGCAGCTCTCGAAAGTCATATTGAGATGATGGGGAGAAATCGACTGATGTAAACATTCCACAGCTGCTACAACAAGGAACAACACACAACAAAGGTTGTCGGATGCTGATAAACCGCATCTGACCTGACACTGACAGGACCTGAATCTTCACCAGTCAACCTCCCTGGTTAGCTCCATCCCCACCCCCCTGAGTCCACCGCGATAACCCGCTATACCGTCATGGCTCAAGTGTTTCCCAGTATGTTTGTAAGCTCCGTCGATCAATATTGAAGCTTGAGACTTGACCGTTGTCGAATCCGACAACCACTCGATCGCCGTGCGTATCCCAACGAGTAGCATAGAAATCAGGCAATAGCCGAAGGAAGGGCATGGCCCCATAGCATAACCACTGATCTCGGAGACAGAGGTTCTGCAATGAATCCGAATCCGAATCTGACCTCACTGGCAGCTCCTCCTCTCCTTCTGTCGGGGTGCTCTCGAGTGCTATTGGTCCAATGTCTGTTGCAAGGTATCGGTTGCCTGCGCCAAATTCTACGGCATACACCTGAGCGGATGTCTTGATCTCCTTCCATGGCCGGGACGACTTGATATGGCTACCGACAGCACGCCCCAGATACTTTGAGGCTTTGAGGGATTTTTCGATGCTCCAAACCCGGATGGTTTTATCGGCACAGACTGCTGCGATATGCTGGCTGTCTGATGAAAAGGCCACTGAAAAGATCCAGTCTGGATAGCCTGGTTTGGGTGAAAAGGCCACAGTAATGATGCTGTCTGAATGGCATGGTAGTCTCTTCTGGAAGTCTCCTGTTGCAGCATCCCACAGCTTAATGACTCTATCAGCGGAGGCTGATAAAATTAGCTTGGCATCAGGTGAGAAGGTCAGCTTCGTGACTTGGGTATCGAAGATCTGCTTCGAGAGTTGAATATCGAAGATCTCCGTTGTCACCAGGGTATCAAATCTGCTTGTGTAGCCTGCCATTGTCTTCTGGAGATTGCCTGTGGCCGTATCCCAGAGCTTAATCCTGCCGTTACAATGGCCTGATACGATCTGCTTGCCGTTAGGTGAGAAGGCCACAGTTTTGAACGCGTCGTCGCTCTCAAGTGAGTTCTGGACGTCACCTGTGGCAGCATTCCAGATATTGACTGCATCGGACGAGCATGAGGCGATCTGCCTGTTGTCTAGTGAAAAGACCACAGTCTCTATTGTGTTTAGATGCCCTGCTAGAGTTTTCTGGAGATGGCCTGTTGCAGCATCCCAAAGCTTGATAGTCTTGTCAGCAGAGCCTGATGCAATCACCTTGCCGTCTGGTGAGAGGACCACAGTTGTAACATGCCTTGAGTGGCCTACGGCTTCTTGGATGCCATCTATGGTATTATCCCAACGCTTGATAGCCGAATCAGTTGAGCATGTAACAAGCTGCTTGCCGTCTGGTGAGAAGGCAATAGACATAACTGTCCCTGGATGGCGTTCTAACGTCTTCTGAAGAATTCCTGCAGCATCCCAAATATGGATTTTGCCATTTTCAAAGCCTGCTGCGATCTGCTTACTGTCGGGTGAGAAGGCCACACTACTGGCAGCATCGCTTGCCAGTGTCTTATGGAGGTCCCCTGTTGCAGCATTCCACAAATTGACGGCGTCATTAGAGCCTGATACAATCTGCTTGCCATCTGGTGAGAAGGCCACACTCTGAACCATTTCTGTGTGGCCAACTAACGTCTTCTGAAGGTCACCTGTGGTAGTGTCCCAGAGCCGGACTGTGCAGTCCGCAGAGCCTGATACAAGCTGCCTGTTGTCTGATGAAAAGGCCAGAGTTAAGCATCGCTGTGAATGGCCTTCAAGTATCTTCTGGAGTTCCCATGTAGCAGTATCTAAAAGCATGATAGCTGTAGTATCACGCGACCAACCGAATGCTGCGATCTGTTTGCAATCCGTCGAGAAAGCCCCGGCGTGGAGCCCAAACCCGCCCTCTTCAGGTGGCTGCAAGTGGGAATAGTTGACCTTCGATATGCCGAAGTGGTCGGCTATCTCCTGACGTTCACCTGCGGTGGTATCCCAAAGCATAATAGAGCCATCATAATTGCCCGATATCATCAGCTTGCTATCTGGTAAGAAAGCCAAAGCCGTGATATGCTTCCAGTGGCCTGATGACGTTTTCGGGTGGCTCCCTGATAGTGTCTTCTGGAGGCTACCTGTAGTAGTATCCCAGATCTTAATTGAACCATCGTCAGAGCCTGATGCTATTTGCTTGCCGTCAGGTGAGAAGGCGACCCTCCAGACAGTCTCTGAATGGCCTGCTAATGTCTGTATCATAGGCGTCCACCTGTCCTCCATGGGCGGAGCTCTCCCCAGCCACGCAGGAATTTTGTGCATATTTTCCCTCTTAACAACACTTGATTCAGGACTAAAGATGATGGCAGAGCTGTAGATCTGCAATGGCCAGTGCCACAAAGTGTGGTAGTGTCGCATTAAAAAACGCATAGCATCCTGCACGAGTGCTAACGCTAGAGTGTCATCCTTTGTCAAGTGAATCAGCAAAAACGTACATACCACAGAGATGTTAAAAACCCACTTTCAATATATCTTCCAATGCTTTAAGCGCGTCAATGGCTTTCGGTAGCCTGTCCAACAGGCTTAGGCATTCTAGCCATTCCAACAACTTTGTGTGAAGGAAGATGCTAACTTGACTCTTGTCGGTGTCGTTGCTAGTATTCTTTAGATGAGACACCCAGAACAGGGCTGCATAGTCCACACGGGACAGTAAGCCATTCCTTGGTCCATTTTCCAGAGTTTTCACAGAGTCTCTCGTGGCATCAGGCCGTGGCAGTTTGACGAGGTTGGGTTTGAGACAGTCAGATAAATAAGATAGACAAGCTAGGACAATTTCTTCATGTCCGAAGCGTTCATGCGAGTCGAGTATAGACAGCCCATTCTCTCCAGCTAAGTAATCTCGAGCGGACTGATGAACAAACTCGATGTTGTCTTCTCGCAATCGGATGAATGAAGCACAGCAATCCACCAATGCTCGAATGGTGTCCTCTTTATCAGTTAGGCCAATCACACTAGGAACTTCCTCCACTTTCAAAGGTCGGTATACCGTCATCATGGCCTTGAGCAGTCGCATACACTTCTGTACTTCAGCCCGCTCGCCCTCATTGAGCTGGTTCAATACTCGTTCATAGAAAGGATGTAGACCTGGCGGCAGGTTTTGAACGGTGGACAGAGCCTCATCGCGGCAGACACTCTCAAGTGACTTGCACACCAAGCTTACCCATAAAAAAGTACCCTCCGATCTTTCAGTAAGCTCGGTCTCTATCTCGCTCTTCAGGGTCGCTCCATATCTGTGCTGGCGACTGAGCTCCTCCACTTTCGAAGTAATATAAGCCTTGACAGCCCCAGAAACAGATTGAGAATTGTGCTCCCCGTCCAGACTGATTTGCACCTGGTCATGACCAGCTAATAAGACCCGCTCTGCGCCGTCCCATGGTCGGCTTGTCAACAACCACTTGATCTTGGCGGGATGATCCAGTCCCTTTCGGACGATGGATTTGAGGAAGTCAGCCACGCCGTCATCCTGACACTCATCGAGAGCATCAACAACCATATATACCCTTGAGTACTTGCACCGGGCCAGCATCTCAAAAAGGATGTTCCACAGTGATTGCCACGAGGTTACATCCTCGCTAAAGCCCTCCTGCATGGTGTCCCAACGGCGACGGAGCAATTCTTTAAGCTCCGTTTGCTGATTTACCAGTTGTAGCATCAGTCCCTTAAGAATGGCTTCCAGGGTATTTAGCTCATAGTCAGCATTCTGGCAGAAAAAATAAATCACCACAGTCGATTCATCCTGCACCCGGGCGAGCTCCTCGATCAGGCCGATGGACAACATGGTCTTCCCCTTGCCAGCGCCTCCCTTGATCCAAAGCAGACCGACCTCATCTCCATTTTCCCAAACCTTGTACTGCGGGTCTTGCAGGATCCAGCGGATGGACTGGTGAACCAACTTGTCCTTGCTCTCTTTCAGCCGATTCTTGACAACTAGGGAGTCCGAGCACCGCAAAGCATGGAGACACATTCGGTCGATGTCTTCGGTGGTGTACGCTAGAAGCAACAGCCCCGCGTTTAGCTCCTATTCATTAAATTGGAAATCACAGGGAAATTACCCCGTGGGACATGGAATTCTGCTGTGATTGAACCCTGGTTGTTTCCAATCTGGAGTCCATGGTTGGTCGCATTGAAGGCAGTTGAGGCCATTATCCAAACACCCACTGAGGTGATAGATGGTGCTGGAGGAAAGTTCAGTCGCAGGTCCGCCAGCTGAAGGAGCGCCTGCCGACAAAAACTAGCAATGCATGTGACGTGTCATTTTGTCAAGTACACTTCCAAGAGCACTAGTTAGTAATGTCTAAATCAAATAACTATGGCTAAGCGCGCGGAGTTAAGTTGTTGGCAATCCCACCCCTCACCCCGCCTCAGCCGCATTGCAACACCACGACCCTCCGCCCTCTCTCTGGTTCCCCATCTCAACACCACCCATAACGAAGTTACTTGAACTACACATGTTGGTCCTGTCCGCAGCCTTAGATCAAGGGTTAGATAGAACGCCACGAAAAAGCGTTACTTTCCTCGCATTAGTGCTTGATACTGGCCCCAGTATACTCACCGGTAAGGAAATACAGTTTGACACGGAGAAACGCTGGTACAAGCCTTGCTTGAAAATGGCCTCATTCTGATACGAATCCATGAGATTACGTGATCTAGCGGCTTGGCCCGCACACTCGAACCCCTGAGGAACTTACCCCTTTAAATATCATAGAAGAAGAGATTAATCGTTATGCAAGAGAATTAAGAGCCCTATCATTCAAAACGCATTCGCTCCTTAGTATGCTACGTGCAGGTAGCCGATACAGTGTCATTCTGCCCTCCTTCCCCTGTGCATTTCATAACACATTCTTGGTCCATACAGAAGCCATTCTGGCGGGATATAGTGGCTATCCAGAGGCGCAGACGAACTGCAATGAGGTCAAGGAAGAGACTAGGAAGCATACAAAGAAGAAGATACATGGGAGCCCTGAGCGCCCCGCAAGATTGCCATACTAGCGAGCGAAGCCCTGTTCCCCACACTTTATGGAAGTAGGTGCACAAGGTTACAGAACCTAATGTGGTAATAAGACCAAGCGAGTTTTGGGAGAAGTTTTTGAAAGTGAAGGTCGAAAAAGTCAAGCTTCGGAGGGCTTTTAAAGACCGACGGGTCCGGCTGGAAGAAATTATCGTTGTGGCATCAGTTCTACAATATCGATCCCAACCCAATCTCCACCATCAGTTTGAAAGTGCTGATGTTGATTGGACGGCTGTAGAGGAACAGCTTCTTGACTGGGGTGGCCTGATTAAAAAGGATAAACAGCTCATGCCTGATATTTCCATTGACTATCCAGCAGACGACACTGGCCCAGACCCTAAGCGAAAGGGGGATAAAAGGGGCACAAACTCTACAACAAACAAGACGCTTGCGGATAGAGACGCTCAAATTGTTGTGAACTTACATCTGGACAACGAACAGCGTGGCAGGATCTGTATTAGAAAGTGCGCTGTCCTGGGTCATGCAAAAACAAAGATTGGCATTGTTGGCTGGACCCGAACGGAAAGAAGCATTGCCCCCCTTTGGTAGGAGCCGGCGGCCTTGAGCTTGACATTCATCATGATGTCCTTGGTGAGATTCGGGAGCAACTGTATGCCAAAGAGGAAAAACAACGAGAAAAGGCGTTAAAACGTTAAAACCCTCGGAAAGTTATCCGGCTGAACCAGGGCATTCTATCAATATCAACGTTATGCCATCACAATCTCCCCAGCCGTCAGTGCTTGCTACACCGACCGATAACCCTCCCTCAAAAGGGGTTTCGGAGCCCGTTGATTCCATAACGTTTCCTGATGTCCCACTGGAGGTGGCCGTGGAGGAGTACAGTAGATGGCAAATATCACGAGTGGTATCTCAGAGATATCAGGACGGTATTGACAAAGCTCATGATGTTGCTCTAGAAAATGGTCTGGATCTAAAACAGATTTACGGGGACCAAGACCCTGACTTTTTCATCAAACATGGCGTGAAAATCGGCGTTGCACGTCAATTTGTTAATGAAATACCCAAGCGGGCCGATGAACACTGCTTAGACTGTTGACAAGTTTAAATATATTGAGACTTCATCTGCATTTTGTTGAACGCGAGTATTGGTACTGAAGGCATCTCGTTGTATACACATGGATGGTCACATGCCTAACGAAATCGTTGGGAAGAGCGGACAGGTTTCCATATACACCTGTTGAAACAAATTGCGGTTTGCACACACCTCACCCCGATTCTAAGCACCGTGCTTAGAATAGATTTACAAGAGCTCTCTCGAATACTAATACCCAGTTCTCATTCCGGGCACCGTGCCCGGGATCAGGGACGTCCGCCCACTGCCAGCCACACCTAACCCAACCGCTACGCGCCACGACGCATCGCTGCGATAGCAACACATAACCCCCAACCAGGCGGGCCTCTTCAAGCCGTTTTTCTGGAGACAACTACCGCAGCCTCTATTAGGGTTGCTGAGGGCCAGAGGATATTCAGCCCGATAGCAGCCTTTCTTGACAAATACCGGAGCTAGCCAGGCCTTGCGCCTTACCAGCGAGGTGCGCTCGACGCGCTCAGCAATGACCTGGCTGATATAGCCTAACGACAATTTAATGCCTATATCAGCGGTGTTCCCTTGACCTTGACTACACCCTCCTCTGCCCCTGCCCCTGCCTCTCTCCCCCCTTCTCCCCCCATCTCGCCCCCTCTCCGGTCTTGCTCAGTCGACGTACGCAACCAATACCAAAGGCCCTACCACACCTAAGCCCAGTACCAAGCTAAAGACTATAATCCCTGCTCTAAACCAGCAGCCTGACTCTCACCTCTTTGTACGCCTCCTGCCGAATCACATTGCCAAAAATATGGACGCATACGCTATTTATACTAGCCTTCGCTCCCATCTGAGTACCAATAACAAGGTAGTCAAGGGTATCCAGTCTATTAAGACTGGATTTGCCCTACTACCTTTATCCCCTGAAACTCTTGCAGCTCTAGAGGTACAGAAAGAGACTATCTCTACTTTCTTTGATACCTGCTAGATCGAGCGCAGCTCCCGCTGGATTTCTTACCGGGTAACAAATATACCAAGAAAGGTCGGCCAGCTTAATGCAAGTCAATTCTCTATAGTCTGTGTTAACCCGAAAATACTATTAGCTGAAGTGGCCAAAGCTATTAGCCTCACCCTAGTTAATGTGACTGAAACTGCTGCTAATGCTTCTAATAAAAATACAATCTCTTCATGCTGGTTGTAAGGCACTGACCTCAAGAAACGTGGGATATACTTTTGGGGAAGACCAAGATCTTACTTGCTCTTTCTTATTCCGTACCGTTCATGAATTGACAGACAATTGGCTTCCAGGCTCAATAACACAGCCGAAATTGCCGGACCTTCTATTTTCCAGCATGTATCACCCGCAAATCATATATAAAGAAAAATACTCAATCGACTCTTGCAATCGACACTATGTGATGCTGAAGGCACAGTTCGATATACGTCATATCTGCAAGATGAAAGAACTGTAACGGACTCCTGTGGGTTATTGCTATCGAGCAAGAAGGTCCGCCAATGAGGGTTGCGGCGCACAATGGCTAAAATTTGAGAGAATATTGGTGATATCAAGCCTTTCGAGACCGCACACGTGAGTGAACAGACGGCTCGACGATATTGTCCAGAAATAGGTCTAATAACTACTGCTTTCTAATGTTTCCAAGCGAAATCATCTTATTCTTGAAGCTGACTACGAGAGATAGTTTCCACCGGGCGTTCTGGCAAGGATTGTTTGGTCCGGCGCAGGTTCCCTCTCCTTCTCCAGCGCGTCTAGACGCTGCGTCCACTCAGGAAAACGCAAACGCAAGTGGCATTGTCGCTGCCGAACTTTTGAGAAACACGGATAGTTATCCTCTTAGAAATGTCCCCTGGGCTTAAACCGGCGTGCCAGTAGTCCGCGATCTGGTTCATGATGGCATGATCATCCATGTCATCTGTGACGCCGTCGGTTACCAGGGCAATATGATATCGGCGATCCTCTCGGAGATGGACCCTCCGCAAGAATGTCTGATTAGATAACGGCCCATCTGCATGATCGGAGGCGGTGACCCGGAACGCACCAGGCACCGGAGGGCTTCCTTAATGTACAGGTCTCCCGAGGCTCGTGACATACTCAGAGGGCCCGAACTCCAGTCGATTTTAGGGCGCTTTGTGCATGTTGTAGTGCAAGCCCGCATACCTAGTCTTGGAATCCCGTCTCCATCTACCGCGATGGATCCCCCAGCTTCGACGATCCGGCGCCTCCCCGAAGGATTGGCAGGCCTGTGGGATTCCGTCAACCGCTTCTGGACGGATTTGGCGTCGTACAAATGGTCATAATATGGTCCATAGGCTCCTCACCATGCACACTTGACCTTCACTGCCCCACTCAGAAAGCAGGACATGAGAGTCAGCAAGGTTGCCAGCCACCAGGACTCCCGTGGTCAGATCCACCAAGCAGACTGCGATCGCGGAGCCATATTTCATTTGGCGGCTTCTATTCAAAAGCGCTTCCTCCTCCCGAATAACCTTTCCCAGTGCACATTCCTATTTCCCGTCAAGGAGTTCTGGGATGTTTGCGAGTAGGCTGGGGATGTGCTTTGCTGCGTGCTTGGACACTGTGGCAGAAATATGTGGGTCTAGTTAGTTTTAGCCTAGCTTCCGGTGTGCATCAGCACCCCTGAATAGACTCGACTCCTCCATGCTTCCACACAGGAGACATATCACGTGTGTTGGGTCCACCTCTTTAGGTTTAGCGTATTCCTCTACTCTTTCCCTCTTCGCCTCGCCCTTTCCAGGACAAGATTGGACCCTGACAATGTTCATCCCAAGCTTCCTCTTTTGCGATGACTGATGCACACCCTGTTGCTCCATCGCAGACCTCCAGCTTACATCCAAATGCGTGTGTTCCCTGCGCCACTAGAAAAGTAAAATGTGACAAACAGAAGCCCTGTTCTTCTTGCGTCCGCAGTCGCGCACAATGCATTTATCCTCTGCGCCCGAATCGACCGCGGAAGCGTAAGAGGGGAGAGATCGAAGAGACTCTCATTGACAGATTGAAACAATATGAGGGAATGCTGCAGGCTGCAGGTGTTGTGTTCAATGTACTGGATGTCGATGGTCTGGAAGCAGGGTCTGATGGGAATGGAATGAAGAATATCGTTGAACTTGGAAGTGACCAGCTCAAGACCTCATCTGAACCAGCTCATTCAGGAAGAAATGAAGCATCTAAAATCGATCGGCCGATCGGTGGGGTGGTGATGAAGGATGACGGGGGAAGTTTTTATGACCATTCGATGCTGATGACCTTGAGCAAAGAGGTGTGTTGTTCTTTTCATTCTGCTAGCTGAATGCGAAATTGACGAATCTAGCTCACCCCTGGTGTCAATCATACTGAGTTATCAAGTGACTTTGATACTTATTCTTTGATCCCGCAACTTGTTCTAGGCCCCGGCCAAGGAGACGCCGATTGCCAGCTGCTTTCTCCTGCAATGGCCGATGAGCTATGGTCACTATTTTGGTCCCATGTTGACCCTCTCACAAAAGTAGTACCAATCCAAACATCGAATCAGCTTAAGGAAGAGGGCTCCCACAAAAGATCAAGCGGCTCAATGGCTCTATTGCAGTCAATCTATGCCTGCGCTGCTATGTCACTGAGTGAGAACGATTTTCAATCCAAATTCGGCTGCGATCGTTCAAACCTACTGAAACAGACTACAAGAATCGCAAAACAAGTGCTAGTAAATGCCTACTTTTTCGAATCACTGGATCTTACCACCTTCCAAGCGTTTGTACTCTTTCTGGTAAGCAGCTCACCGCTACATAATTTGCAAACTATTGACGTCAATAGACCGCCATACAGTGCACTTCGGAGTCGTCTTTCTTCTGGTCCCTCCTTGGAATGGCTCTCCGTAAGGCGCAGACCATGGGGCTTCATCGGGACGGAACCTTTCTGGGGCTTTCTCCTTTTGAAACAGAAATACGTCGTCGCGTCTGGTGGTATCTCGTCAGCCTAGATGTTCGTGCTTCCGAGATGGCGGGCTCTAGGAACTCTATCATATCCCAAGCTTGGGATACCCGAATGCCTTCAAATATCAACGACGAAGATATGGACCCCACAATGACGACCTTGCCGAAGGATCAGACAGGGATAAGAGATATGAGTTTCTGTCTCTTCACCTACGTGACTATTGATGCACTCAGATCCGCTGAGCTGAAGAAATCGACCGATACTTTGTTGAATGTCAGGTCCCAGATTACACTAACCAAGGAACAATTCTCGGAGCTGAGAAGGTTGCTTGAAGAAAGATTCTTGCGCTTCTGTGACCCTGTGATGCCATTGGACCTTTTCCTGAGTATCATGGCGAGGTCTACTCTTTGCAAACTCGAAAACAAAATACGGTTCTTCGCGCCTGGAGCCCCAAAAAAGGGGCCATCGATCCCTGACTCATGGTACGCGTACGGTTTTCGGATGTCGGAATACGACAAGATGATGCACTCGAACGAGCTTCTACATGGATTTCTCTGGTATGCTCATGGAAACTTTTCATGGGGCGCCCTGTTTGGTCTCCTGCGATCGATCAGTACCAGCGAATGGGGCGAGAAAGAAGAGAAGGGGTGGCAGTCTGTACAAGACACGTTTCAAAATTATCCGGAGCTCTGGCGTGAGGACAAAGGTTTGAATCGATTTGTTGGGACCCTGACACTCAAGGCTTGGGATGCGCGGAAGGCGTCGACATATGGCTCTGCAGAGGAAAACAACACCCCGGAGTTTATCAAATCGCTTATCGCAAAGCGCAGAAAATCCATTGGCTCTCCAGCGACAAGTGCTCTGGATACATCCCCGGGAAAGAATGTTTCGGAAGCACACTTAGCCAGTGCCGGCTCTGCCATTCAAGACTATCCTGGGCAGCCGCAATCTTGGAGCGACCCATGGTCTAATCTATTATATCCGAATGCCGCAGATCGGGATGTTGATTTTGAGTCTTGGTTAACGTGAACAAATGCAATTTTGCTTTCTATGGACAATAATTATACAGAGTGAAGATTTTCAAACAGCCTTTCAACGCCCTGGCACTGAGTCTCACGGGCTTTCAATCAAACAAAACATGTCTCTGCCACCTTGTTGGATTAAAGGTCTTCCTTTTCCGACTCCTGGTGGTCATCTACCTCTGCAGTTCTCATGTCCTTCCACTCCACGAACAGCGCCACAACAACCCCAACACCCGCAAGAGCAGCGGCAAGATAAAATACATTAACCACAGCGTCGTTGTAAACATGAAGCAGTACGCTCATTTTGTCAGAAGAGACTGCGTCACGCAGGTCTGTGGCTCCCGATTTCACGATCATAGACGCGTCGACATCTGGCAGCTGTGACTTCACGTTATTGATCAATTCCTGGGACATGATATTCTGAGCGATGGAGAGAAACACCGATCCTCCGAGCTGTTGGCCAAAGAACAGCAAAGAAATAGCTGGAGGGACTTCCGATTTGGGTAGCACTGCCTGGACAGCATTCGACCCATGCTGCATGCAACATCCCAATCCAATGCCGAAGAGGACCTGGTATCCGATCCATTTGGGGTGTTCTGTCGAGACGGTGAACGTGCTGAGAAGTCCGGCACCGACTGCCATCAATACTGCTCCGGCTATCATGAATGGTGAGGGATAGCCCACGAGCTTTGAAACCAAGGCGCCGGATAGAATTGATCCGAGGACCAGAGCGATCAGAAGGGGAAAGCTCATTTCGCCGGATTTCACCGCACTGACGCTTTTTATACCCTGGAACCAGATGGGAATGTAATAGATGACGGTCATCATGGCTCCTCCTATACAGTTCGAGAAAGCGAATGCAGCTGCCACCGTGCGCTGCTTGACGGTCTCCGTCTTGATCATGGCTCTGTCGCCTTCAAGGGCCTGATCGATGCCGAAAGCGATAAAGAGGACCCCGCTCATCACTAGCAAAGCAATGACTCTTCCGGAACTCCAAGGGTAGGCCGATCCTCCCCACTGCAGAGCTAGCAGCAAACAGACCACCGCAGGAACGAGCACACAGAAACCCAAGGGATTAAACTGAAGTACCTTATCCAACAGCGACTGTCTCCCTGCTTGTGCACCTGCACTCTCATCCCCTTTCTTCCCACCTCGCTCCTCCTGCTTCGGAAAGATGAAAAAGATGATCACTAGTACCACACCTCCAATCGGCAAATTAATCAAAAAGCACCACCTCCACGATGCATGCGTTGTCAAGGCACCACCCAACAGTGGTCCCGCAACCGCCGACACCCCAAAGATGGCACCCAAGAACCCGGTGTACATCGCTCGTTTTGACAACGGTACGGCCTTCACTATCAAGACCATCGACCCGGAGAAGATGCCCGCAGACCCGAAACCCTGAATGGCGCGTCCCACAATGACGGCCTCGGAATTCGGCGCCCCGCCGCATACCGCAGAGCCGACTTCGAAGATGACCACGCTGGTGATGTAGACGATCTTAGCTGGGTAAATCTTATAGAACATGCCTAAGGGCAATTGCATCACGCAGCCGGTGAGCATGTACGCGCTGCCGTACCAGGCGATGTCTTCGAAGGAGTGGAATTGGTTCGTCATGCTGGGGATAGCGGTGGCGATGATAGTGCGATCCTATTACCAATGGTTAGTGAATCATTAATCTTGCTGTTGGACGATTCCGGGCTCTACATAAAGGAAAAGGGAAGGGGAAAGATAACTTACCAATGAGACCAAGAACATGGAAAGACAGATCGAAGTCATCACCACAGCCAGCGCCACACCCTGGAGACCCTCTGGCTCGGGGACGTGGCCATTAGCAGGGCCGATGCCATCATACCCTTCGTCCCGACCTTTCTCTTCGTCCATATTTGGTCGTCGGATCTCAATTGAAGGTTTCATATTGAGACGCAGTCGCCGGAGTTTCGCAAAGTAGATAGTATGGATAGGATAGTAAGTAGATGCTGTTGAACAAAGAAAAGATAAAACAAAGTCGACCAAAGATAAATCGATCGAACCAAATCTGCTGTTATCGAATTTCTTCTCTTCTACATTCCTACAAGACAGCGAAACCTCATTTATATACAACCCCCTTAAAGTAACCCAACAATAAACCCAGTCTCTGATCCTCCCGGATCGAGAGACGCTATTACCGTATGTGGTTAGATCCGGGAGCTCGGGACCAATCGGGGTGGTTTGTTCGGGCCCGAGTGCTCAATCCTCCCGAGATTTTGGACATGTTCGCGACCGAGAGGTTTTTCTCAGTTGGTCGTTATGTGGTGGTTGATTAAGAACTGATTTAAGCGTGAGTTTACTCTATGGATGGTTATTGTATGCTTATATTGTGGAAATCTTCTAATAGTGATGTTGGAAATGTGGTATTATGTCGTCAACCGACGAATATATTCTCGTGCTCGCGCACCCGGGTTTCATCCTTCTTTAATTTTTCATCATTATCTAGTCAAAAACAACCAACACAGTTAAATAACTTTTCCAATCCCATATAGGAGTTACTTTACCATAGTAAAGAGGAATAAATCAACAGCTGATGTCCATCCAATTGCTCTGCGTCTAGAAAGAGAGAGATTGCTGACCTCAAAGGCTGCCGGAAATTTCGCCCGGGCACGTTCGATGATTGAATAATCCCATGTCATAATTCTGTTGCGTTTAATAAATTTGTGTATGAGATGACTGAGCTCCAAGAATATCGCATACTCTGTTCTATTACGTATAGACTATATGATGTGAATAGCAACCATCTTTCTATATGTGGTGAGTTGAGCATGATAAAAGGAATATTAAACGAGCATTATTCAGCAACAAGGCGTTAGGAGATATAGTCGGCTATTGAAGAGCTCTCTGGTTTGAAGGTGAATATGATCTATTCTTCTATTCTCTTAGATATGCCATGCCCTCATTATCAAGTGCAGGATTTGGAACATATATAGAACAACTCGGGAGTCCAATAACCTGACCTATCAAAGGCATTTTATCAGGATCACAAAGATCTCTTAGAGTGTATGCACATTCCCTTTTCAGAAACATTCATCTGGCTGAATAATGTGAGTGTAAGTCTGCACAAGCATAACGCCAATCCGCTCTGTGTATCTCTATTAAGACTACTGTTTGTCAAGGCAATGTAGAGACTGCGATAAAGAATCCATCACCATTTCAAGACAAACACTAAGATCCGCAACAGTTGAACTAAACTAACACCATCACATAATATAAATTACCTCCCGACTCCGTGAAGAGAATAAACAACTCAGAAATCCAATATCAACTCTCCTCCACAGCATGGCTTAAGCCCAACATCAACAATACAATACAAACAAACAACAACCCACCCCTCCCACCAAGCCATTTAAATCAAACCAAGGACCAAGCAGCCAAAAGCGTGGAAACTTCCATACCTGTAAATGCAAGTACCCTACAGCTTACGGTAGATATCATCCATCATGTGGTCTGATTTCTTAGCATCGGTCCGAATCCAAATTGCCAGCCCACTCTCACCTTCTCTTTCGTTCTTCTTCCTTTGGATCCACATCATGAAGAGCTACACTGTAGGATGGCTGGCAAATAATGTGATAATAATAGAATGCAGATACTCTAAGTATATACACATGTCTCCTGATCTTCGATATTGACCTGATAGGCCCCCCAGATAACCAACCCAAACCCCATTACAACAACAGACAAGCAAAGCACACAGAGAAAATACCTCACCATCAAAACATCTCATCCCCCTAATAGCCCCCAAAGTCTAAATACCCAGACATCACCAGACAGAAACATAAGTAGACACCCAAACCACCTAAGTAACCAACCCAACCACATCCCAAACAACCAGATTTCAAACCCGCCCTGCCTTGCCTTACCTTATCCCACCTCACCTCACTCCTTCAATTAAAGCAGTATCCTGGACTGCAATCCCCTACTTCCCGAAATACAGTAAGCTTCACATCTATCCATTCATCCTTCAGTACACACACAGCACCCACGTATGAATCAACCCGGTCCAGAAAACAAACAAACAAAAATCCAGCCCACCAGCTCTACACAAAGAGAGTATGCAAGCCCCCACACAATCAATTCAATGCGTCAAATAGAATGAAGGAAAATGGACAGAGAATAGGTACCACGCTGTTGAAAGGAAGTTGTTAATCGGGCTGGGCGGGGACTGAATATTTCCTCCCTCTCTATCCGTGGTAACTAAATGATGAGGTGGGTGCCTACTGTGTACATACATACATACATACATACATACATACTGTCTATTGTACATAGATGAAGAAGGGTAGGAGCGTCTAGGTCTAGAGACCTGTCTTTGTGGTTGGCTGTCTGCTTTTGTTCACCGGATAGATGGGTAGATGCGTTGGTCGGTTGAGTTGGGAATCGGTTTCTTTTATTCAGTCATGTCATCTGTTTCGATTACATTATTGTGCTTATTAGGTAGGTATTTATACTGTTAAGCAAGCAGGTACATAAAAGAGTCGTTGAGAAAGAGAAAGGTACACTTCACGTCGCCATCACTACCTAGGCTAGATTAGTCGCTACAGTCTACATAGTCTATACATCGGACCGCAAGAAACCTGCCTCGCCGTTATGATCGACAAGGCAAGGATTTTTGTACGACTCGCCTCCCGGTCTCGAATGCAATAACGCGAATTTGGCAGGTTTCAACGCCCACAAGTATAAATCTCCGGTCGCACACGCTGGTCGAGAAGGTTTTTCGTGCTCGGGCATTTGATATCGCAGAGCTGGTTGGGTTAGCTGACGTGATAATCATGGGCAGATGGGTTTATTTCGGGGGGAAAAGGAAATGGAAGAAGACAGGGACGGTTAGAATGTGAAGGAGTGGCCAAGATCAGCAAGACAACACATAGATAGGAGAGGTCGATGGGAATAACTTGACAGCATTAATGGCCTGCTGCAGGACCCGGAACAAGCATCGCATCGCATCCTCGGGAGATTTCACGGTATCCTACAGGATGGACCTGTAGTCGAGGCACGGGGCACAGAGTGACACTGCATGCATGGATTTCATCCGGATTCTTCCATGGTGTATTTCCCTTTTCTGCATTCCTTATCCATGTTCATCCGTCAAGTCTCGTCACGAGTGACACGATCAAGGATGGTCCAAACTTCCATTAGCCTTGAGTGTTTTTTGGGTCTCCAATTGGAGTCACTAACATCGCGCCCTGTAACCTTCCCCCTGCAACCAAAGCTAGAAGGAGTAGTAGACCTGGCCACAGTAGCTAACTAATGAGTTAGTTAGTCAACTCCTGGGCGATTAGATAACCACGGAGTACATCACACCGAACGCGCCTCGACTCGCTGGGAAGGCCGTGGCGGCCCTCGACATGCAGAACAATCTTACATACATGGTGGCTGCTAACCGGCTTTGGGCTAGACCAGTACCACTAATGTAGGTATTTGGTCCTATCACCGTCCAGAGGACGTGATCGGCCTTTCTCCGGCGTAACTTTCTCCTGTGCATAAGGTGACATGGAGGGACTGGTGGCTCCCGATGGTCTATCCTGGGTGGACGGATGCGCATTGTGCAGCATGCACTAACACTTTGCAGTAAAGTCAATAGCAAGCTGGCAAGGTTCGCAGCGATCCATTGATGAATTGTGAGTGTCTCTGAGTTTTGGGGGGGTTCCATTTTTGCCTCCGTCTTCAACTCGGCCTGCAGGGACCAGGGATGGGCTTGTGCGTTATATTCATATGGAGGGTCATTTCCCACTTACCTAGGTTGATTCTGCACTGCGGGCCGTGGCGCTGGCAGGTCTCCATCTGTTCCCGACAGTCGCGAACATAATCGCCAGTGTCGTACTTAGATTAGGTCTCCGACGAGAGTTTGAGGACGGGTTTTCGCATACGGAGTACTCGGTCGAAACAATTCCACATACCACTCCCCGGCAAAGTACTAACCGGTTAGTACAGAGTACAACCAACGCAAAACTAAGAAAATCCAATTATATCTCACACCTAAACCTCCTAGCTTTAGCGGCGGGATCGTCAAGGCTCAGCCGCAGCAGGATCCACTTGTTCAGGGCGAAGATGAAAAACCGGGCAAGAACAGTCCTATTATTCGTAGCTACCGCAGTAACCGTACGACGGGGGGGTGAACGTCAACCATTTTCGGAGTAGCGAGGTCTCTTCCTCTCAGAATGTCCATGCGGAGGCACCAGGAACGGTTTAATTTCTCGAGTAGTCGTGGTGGATGGGTGGTGGCCCGGGTCCTGCGCCGGCGTCTGGGCTCGCATAGTTAGCTTTGTTGGTACCCGTACTTCTGTGGGCGATGTTACGAATCCTGCAGCGGTTGGACGTGCTGTCCCCACTGGGTGTGGGAACGCTAATTGAGAGGCCGTAGGAGCTCTCCTAGTCTCAAGCTGCGACGGCGATGTGCACGATAAGTGAACGGGACAGGTGGTTGGGAATGGGTCTGGCTTGTAGCCCTGTCGGTGGGACGGATCAGAGATATAGAAGAAAGTGAGCCCCGTACTTACGCAGAATATCATCGTGATTACAACTGATCACAGAGCTCACAATCAATCGGCGAGTTTTATCTTGCCGGTCCGTTGATTAGTGCATCCAGTGGATCCCCTGTTGATGCAACATCCTGTCTACCACTCTTTCTAGTTTCTGCTAATAATGTCCACCTATGATGACCCTTGTCACTCGGATGGCGTGCTACCTAGTGCGTGCGCTCTGCGTACGGAGTAGGGACTAGGGACTAAAATCCGCTATCTGATGGGCGCTCCTGGATCAAATTATCATATAGCTGCACAAATCACTTGCGCGTAGGAGTAGTTTCAAACTTAGATGGTTACTTCAGCTTCATGGAGCCCCAGGCGAAGGCAAAAATACAACTTACTGTCCGTATTATAGGCATG